CTACTGGCTGGATCCTTTCCCTCCCTAGCTGTCTGAACCACTGGCTCCACCCTTCTGTTTTATTAACTCACAGCAGATGCCTGTCGCAGACATCAAGGATGGCCCATGTTTCAGGGACATCTATCAGGTCCTGCCTGGATTAGTGCCCCATCCTCAGAGAGGCCTTCCCCCTCTACCTCTGGTCCTTGCCTTGTTGCATAGTCTCCTCTCATCCAAGGGGGATGTGTTCTAAGCCCCAGAGATTCTTGGAACTGAATAGTACTCAGCCCTGCATACACTGTGTTTTTAGCAAGATATACACACTTGTGATAAAAATTTGACTTATAAGACACAGAGATTAACAAGTAGTGACAGAAAGGGTGACACAAGATGTCATCACAGCACTAAGAGTGGTATGCAGCTTCAAACCTACAAATTGTTTCTTGAATTTTCTTAGTGGTTTTGGATCACCACTGACTGCAGGTAGTTGAGACTGTGGAAAGCAAAGCCATGGTTTAAAAGGGGCACTACTGTCCTTTCAGACTTGTTTTCTGCTGCCTTCTCTGTGTCCAGAACAAGGCCGCAGAGGTTGCCCTGATAGGGGAAGAGCTCCTGGGTGATGAAGGAGCACCTGGGTTTATGTTTCTGGTTCTTTCTTTCTGGCTGTGCCTGTAGGGAAGTGTCAGCGTCCCTGTGTCTCAGTCTTCCCGTTGATAGAGTGACATTAGCAGTACCTGCCACCTGGGCTACTGGGAGAATTAAAGGCATTAATTTACACAGAGCACAACACTGACTGTCTGTGGGCTGGAGAGACAGCTCAGTGGCATAAGCACCTGCCTGGCATGTGCAGGGTCCAAGTTCAGTCCCTGCTACTGTAAAACAAAAACAAAAACCAGTGACTATCCCTGTAGGTGGGGCTGATGGTAGTAGTGTTTGATGGGGTGGCGAGGGGAGGGAGGTGTCCTCTGCAGAGTGGTCCATGTCACACCTCTGAGGGGTAGTGTCCTACTTTGGCCCATGACATGATGTGCGTTGCGCCGTGAACCTTTTTTTTTTTTTTTTTCTTTTTGAGACAGGGTTTCACTATGCAGTTCAGGCTGGGCTTTCATTTGCTTTGTAGCCGAGGCTAGTCTTGAACTCACAGGGATCCTCCTGCTTCAGCCTCCCAGATGCTGGGATTAGAGGCATGTGCCACCACACCAGGCTCTAGGAGCTTTCCAGGGAGTATCTTTACTTGATCTTTTTGAGCCTTGCCTAGGACTCATAGCTCCTCTGGACCACTGGCACAGAGACACATGGCATGGGGACAGGGAGGAGCAGAGTGGACCTGGGCATGAGCCCCAGCTCTGCACGGTGCCTGTGTGACTGCCTCTGCCTTCGTGGGCCTCAAGCTGCATGTCAGTGGCTCCTCGCCATGTTCTTAAGAACTGAGTGAGGTGGGGGCTGTGGAGCAGGCCTGTCACTGCTGATCTTTCTCTGGTGGTCCACTGGCCAGAAAGCAGGCAGGTTTCCCTGGGGCTCTCCTCCTGGGGGTCCCTTTGGGTGGGAGCTCCCCTCTGCCCCAGACATTGTGTTGCAAACCCTTGAGGAGTATCCTGGACAGAGGCCCTTGCTTTTACTCTGGATTCTCAGTGCTGTAACCATTCAACCTTGGTCCATTTGGAGCTGTCCCTGTGGCTGGTCAGGCTGTAGGACAGCCCAAGGGACCCCTGCCCACCTTGGCTCTTGGTGGTGGGTGGGATTGGGCCTCCCATTTCCTTGTGAGCCTTCCATGAGGTGAGAGGGGAGCCAGGCCTGCCGCAGAATACACTCTCAGACTCTGTGTGAGAGCTACATGTTTTTCTTAGGAGATCTATGAGTTTCTTTTTTAGTCTACCACCTTAACACTCAAAATCAGTATTTCATTTTATTTAGGTATTTATTTTTGCTTTTTTATTTTTTATTTTTTTTGAAGGGGTGGTTTGAGGCAGGTTCTCACTATGTAGTTTTAGAGTGGCCTTTAATACTCACTGTGGAGCCCAGGCTGGCATGAATCTTGCAGCAATCCTCCTGCCTCAGCTTCCTGAGTGCTGGGGTTGTAGGCATGGGCCACTGTGCCCAGCAAAATCAGCATTTTTAACTTTCCAAAAAGACAGTTGCGATAAAACGTATCATGGGATGTGTTTCTACCCTGCTCCTGATCTGTTTTGGAAAACAGTAACATTAATATAGGGATTGAGTTTTAAGTTGCAATTTATTCCAAAGGGAGTACAAGTTAAAACCAGTTGAGGGGCCAGGGAGATGGCTCAGTAGAATAAGCGCTTCCCTGGCAGGCGCAAGGGCCTGAGTTCAATCCCTGGTTCCGCCAAAACAAACAAACAAACAAAAATAAAAATAAAACCAGTTGAAAAACACTGGCTGGAAGGGGCCGGGGAGATGGCTCGGTGGAATAAGTGCTTCCCTGGCAAGCGCAAGGAAGAGCCCAACCCCGCTTTGCCTGAGCATGTGCTGGCCTCACTGTGCCTAGGCCCAGGACTGCCTTGCTTGGTCATTACCTAAATACTTATAGAGCACCCCATACAAATCCCTGCCCTGGAGGGCTGACATGCAGGCTGACTTGGTGGGGAGGGGTGGAATGTCAGCTCATGATGGCTGCCCTGTGGGGCATGATGGGTATTCGTGCATCTCTAACAAAGCATGGTGGGAAGCATGTGCAGGCGGGCCAGTCTGAGGAGGTTGAACCTCCTGGCCCTGACTGGGGCTCTGAGCTCAGTCCTCACTTGGTTCAGCCGGTCACAGAGCTGGGCAGCAGCAGCCCTGCTCTCAGGGAGGCCACTGGCCTTTTGTGAGTCTGGCTATTAGGCTCAGGATGCCTACTGTACTTTTTCTTGCATATGTTCTTGTAATCTGTGTCTCAGTTTCCTCCTTTATAATGAGGCAGTGGGTGGTTAATAAGAGTGCATGTTTTGTGGTTGTTTTTTTTTTCTTTTTGAGATAGTCTCCACTGTGCTGTTCAGAATGACTTTGACCTCACTTTGTAACTCAGGCTGATCTCAAACTTGCAGCCATCCTCCTGCCTCAGCCTCCTAAGTGCTGGGATTACAGGCATGTGCCACCGTGCTCATCTTGTGTCTATCATAGAAGCCTCTTCCAGGCTCCCTGGGTGCAGTTTTGGCTCCAGAGTTGTGTTTGTGTGAGCAGAAAATCTGTCTTTTCTGCCTCTCATAGCACAGAGCTCCACACCATGCTGCATCTTCCTTTTTCTGCGGGAGCTGCCTGGACCCCTCCAGGTCCTCACTCAGCCCTGCCTCTCTGTCTCAGCTGCAGTCTAACTGCATAGCTGCTCTCTGCGCAATCTCACCATCCCACAAGAACCCTCTGTGAAGCATGACTGGCGTGCACTGGTGCGTGTAAGATACCACCATCTGGAAGGCGTGCTTTTATATAATACCAAGAAATACCAGCGCACAGTTAAATGACGACAGACTGCCAGCTCTGAGATGTGACTGTGTTCGCCGGTGTGAAGCGTGGCAAACTGTGCTGTAGAACTGATGGGAATGGAAGTGAGCCTGCTTGCCCAGGGACAGTGCTAGGCAGAGGGCAGGGCTGGGCTCAGGCTCGTAGGCGCAGTCTCTGCACATGTTGTGCCCTGGGGTTCACGGCAGGGCCCTTGGTGCCTGGGCAGCCGTGGGGCGGCAGCACTGGCTGCAAGGGCGGTTCTGGAGGGTGTGTGTGAAGGGCTCAGCAGCTCTCCGTTCTTGGCACCTGACAGAACTGGCTACACTCACTGCGGCTTATTTTAATCACCAGGATTTGGGAGGTTGCCTGCTTACTCGCTCTTTGAATTGTCTCATTCTTAGCGAATGTTTTCTTTTTCCCACTAGTCCCACGAGCACAGTACACAGGCCCTTGAATACATTGGCTTGAACTGCCTAAAGTTGCTATCGGGTAGGTCCTTAGTGAAAGGATATAGGCAGTCATTTAGACTAGGTGTTTTTTTTTTTTTTGGTCAGTATTTTTTTCTTTTTTTGTTTCTAGTCATTTGTACTTACTAGAAAGAAAGAAAATTTGCAAGTATTGAAAAAATTCTTCCCCAGCGGTTTGAAACACTGCTCTGCCTGGGTGTGCACAGGCCCTCTCCAGCAGAGGCTGTGCCCTGCTAGGGAGTCCTGCCCGCCAGCTCTGGCCTTGTAGGAATCTCAGCTGCTTTGGCTCTTGGATGCTGTCTTGGTTACTTTTCTCTCTTTGCTGGGACAAAATATTGGGTGCCCAAAATTAAGGAAGGAAAGGTTTATTTAACTCACAGTTTGTGAAGGTTTCAGTCCCTAATGCTTCCAAGGCAAGATGGCATGGCAGAGGGTAACAGTTCAAGGCAGTAGAGGACAGCAAAAGCAGCAAGAGCAAAAGGGGAGAGCAAGCCTCTTTTTTTCTCCTGCCGTCAGCTGGTGTAGAACTCACACCTTCTCCCTGCCCACCTCTTGCACTGGCTCCCAATGTTTACAAAGTAAGGACCATGGCTAAGTCACTTAATTAAACTTCTAGACTTCTCAGGTTAACACAACATATCTAGCCTTTGCAGATGCTTTCACTGTTTTTCTTTACTAGACACCAGTGACTTGTAAGCCTGAACTGGCCATTTGTTCTAGAGGAGTTTAGAGCACCGGTCTTCTAGAGAACACTCCGGTGTTCTAGAGCACCGGTCCTCCCTCATGCAAGGCTTAGGGTGGTGGCTCTTTATCAAGAGCTTGTGAGCAAAAACCAACCTCCCCTTTTGATTGTTTTAATTCTGTTCGGCTTCAAAGGGCTACTGGGTGATGGATGATCCATCTCATGGTCCATTTTCCCCATCCATCAAAAGGCAGAGCTTGGAAGTTGTCAGTCAGCCCTGTCTGCTCTGCCTGGCTCAGGCTTTGCTCCCTCAAGCCCCAGAAGAGTTTGGTGTCCACTCTCCTGTTGGAGGAGGTGGGGCTGTGCCTCCTCTGGGAGGTGACCTTCAGCCCTCCCAGCTCTGAGGCCAGGGACTCAAACATGTGCCCACACAGGGAGGAGTGGATGCGGGCCATCCAGATGGTTGCCAACAGCCTCAAGCAGCGAGTCTCTGGTGAGGACCCCATGGACTACAAGTGTGGCTCCCCAGGTGACTCTTCCACACCCGAGGAGATGGAAGTGGCAGTCAGCAAGGCACGGGCCAAAGTGGTGAGTGAGTGCCGGGGCAGGTGGCGAGGGGCTGGGGCTGTGCCAGCCCTGTCTCCCTTTGTTCCATATAAAGTGTGCAGGGCTTCGTCCCCGAGACTGCATGGTGCCCTGTGGGGCAGGTGGTTGTCATGGGGCTGCTCTGTTCCATGGAACAAGGAAACACCCTGGGTAGAGCTTGCAGCTCTCTCCACATTGAGAACTCTCCTTCTAAGGCAGTGCCTGGGAGAGCCTGGGCCTACAGGTTGCCCAGGACGGTTGCTGCCCAGAGCTCCCTCCCACGGGAGCCTCTGCCAGGGCAGCAGCATCTTTGGTTTACTTCTTTCTTTGTTAAAACTTCCTCCCATGGGCCAAGTGCCAGCACAGACTGACCCTGCTTTTTCTCCACACCACAGACCATGAATGACTTTGATTATCTCAAACTCCTCGGCAAGGGCACCTTTGGCAAAGTCATCCTAGTGCGGGAAAAGGCCACGGGCCGCTACTATGCCATGAAGATCCTGCGGAAGGAAGTCATCATTGCCAAGGTGAGTGCTCTGAGGACGGCCATGCACTTGCTTTTTTGTGGCTGTCAGAAGAAAAAGAATGAAAACAAATTTAGTTTTAGATCTAATTGGCTTTTATTTGTGATTCATGAATGGGGGCAGACTCCATTCTACACAATAGAGTAAAAGCTTCCACTGGACAGTGGATTTTGTAAGGTGGCAATAAGTGGGAAAAGGCTGATTGGTTAACATCAGGTGATGTGAGGTTACCCTTTGTAGGAGTAAAGCAGAGGAGATTTCCTTATCACACTCAGGTAGACTGGACTTTCTTATTTTCAGGAAAAACTTCTTTGTCTTGGGGTCTAGCTGCTTCTTTGTTTCCTTGGGATTATGTGGCATTTAGCATGAGTGACTCAATTTTTGGTTTGGTCTGGTTTGCTTGGGCCTAGTTCAGCATACTCCAAAACAGTGACCTTCTGTCTTGTTAATTTGTTTGGGTGGTGCAGGGGGTGGAACCCAGGGCCTTGTACATAAGAGCCATGTGCTTTCCCACCTAGCTCCTCCCCTGCCCTCATGATTTATTGGGAGCTACAATCTGATATGAGGCAGTACCTGGGCACTCTGGCAGGCTAGAGCAGTGTCACAACAGCGTTCTGCCTTACTTAGCCTGTCCACTAGGTCTTGTTCCCTCACTCCCCTGTCAGAGAAGGGGAGCCTGAGCCCAGGGAGGAATTGGCCCACCTTCGAGTCCCAAATCCACCTCTAGCTGTGGAGAATGCAGGAGCCTCACACAGTAGGTGCTGTCTAGGCTTGAAGGAGGCCCCTTGCCATGATAAAAGACTGGGAGGCTGTTGGAAGTGGGGTCATAAATGGAACTATGTTTTTGCCTTATTTAACAGATTTTGTAGTAGCACATTTCAGACATAAATTTTAAGAAGAAAAATATGATGGACTGCCATGTAACAGGAATTCTGTGAAAGCATTTTAATCTTGTTTCATTCAGTCTGCCCTCCCCTTTTTTGGTTCTGGAGTGTTTTATGGTGTATTTTAGATATTTTCAGCCATACAAACTTTTTTTTATTATTTATCTTTTATGTATTTGATACAGGGTCTTACTATGCAGCTCTGACTTGTAGTGATCCTTCTGTTTTCAGCCTCCCCAGCACTGGGATTACAGGCATGCACCACCACACCCAGACTTCGTGCCCTGCTCATCACGCCCAGGGGCAGGGGCAGGGGCAGGGCCATCACAGCATGTGGTGCTGGGGATCGAACCCTGGTCCTTGCGCTTGCCTAAGCATACAAACTTTTTTAAATGTGCCTTAGTGGATGAAGATTTTTAAAAATATGCAGTGCTGTGATCGTATCCAACAAAAGAAACTTAGTCTCTGATATAATTGGTCTCACCGGGCCTTGTAAGCCTCAGTACACTGATACTTTGGGCCACATCATTCTTTACCGAGGAAGAGGGGGATATCCTTTCCATTCTAAGAGGTTTAGCAGCAGCCTCCTGTTGTGCTAACAAAAAATGACTTTAGACATGCCCCAGGGATGGACACGCCCAAAGCACAGTTGGCGGCCAGATGACTAAGGTGTGGAAGCTCTCCCAGTGAGCCTACTCTTAGGCTTGTATTCAAGAAGCCCAGGGGTTTGTAAGGCAGGAATATCCCCCACTTCCACCCCACCCCCAAGTTTCTGCTCAGTAGAGCTGCTGTAGGGCCTGAGAATTTGCATTTCTGCAAGTTCCCAGGCCATGCTGCTGCAGCCGTTGCAAGGACCACACCCTGAGAAGTGCTGCCTCACTCTTCAGCCTTGATTAGACCCATTTCCTTCTTTGGGCAAGAACACTTTATAGCTGCTGATTCCCACATCCTCTGTGGCATCTCAGGGGTCTTATGATGTCTTCTTGTTCTCTCTGTGGGGCTGTATGCTAGACAGCCTTGCATCGTGACAAAATAACAGATAAATAACTTGTAAGGACAGAAGATTTATTTTGACTTGGAGCTGCAGAGATTCCAAGCCATGATGGCTTAGCTCCTTTGCTTTGGACCTGTGTGGGCACAGAACATCATGGTGAGGTCCCAGTGACCTATCTTCTTCTCCTAGACCCTACCTCCCAGAAGTTCCATCCCCCGCTGGTAGCAACATGGGCGAGGGACCAGGCCACCAACACATGAGCCTTTAGAGATCAATCAAGATCCAGATTATAGGGGCCAGGGCTACTGAGATGGCTCAGTAGAACAAGTGCTTCCCTGGCAAGTGCAAGGGCCTGAGTTCAATCCCCGGTTCCACAAAGACAAAAAAAAAGATCCAGATTATATGTTACCTTGGCTTGGGTTTACATGGCCCAGCCCTCATCTTCCCATTGTAAAGTTCTCAATCACTTTTCACCTTGTGGTTTTAAGCAAACTGCTGATTATCCTTATCTGGGTTCATTATTTAGAGCTTGTAGATGGCCCATCATACTCCCGTCATGCTTTTTGCTTTTATAATGGAATTGCATTTCCCCAAGTTCTTGCTTGACTGTCTTTGTAAAAACCGGTGCTGAGGCAGATGGACATGGTGTTGCTCCCAGCCGCTCACTCTCTGTCTGCAGGATGAAGTTGCTCACACGGTCACGGAAAGTCGGGTCCTCCAGAACACCAGGCACCCTTTCCTCACGGTGAGTTGCACCCACTTTCTCAGGCAGTAGGGGCCTTCACTTCAGGCCCAGAGTGAAGGAGTTCAGGGAAAGAGCCCACACCTGCTGCTCCAGAGTGCAGCCTTGCATGGGTTGGGTCCTAGCCTCCACGCTGTGCCTGAACCAAGCACTGGGATGATACTGTCTTCATAGACAACAGCTTCATATGGGCACTTTGAGGGACCAGAGAGGTGGCCTAATAGGATGACTCCTGGAGAGTGAGGCTACTTTCTCTGTGAGGGGTGCTTAGCCCAGTTCAGCTAAGCGGGAGGATGTTTCATGTTGATTTTAAAATACCAGAATGGCTAGGGATACAGCTTAGTGGCACCCATGCCTGCGTGACAATTTTTTTTTTTCTAGAACCGAGGATTAAACTCGGGTCCTTGCACTTGCCAGGGAAGCGCTTATTACACTGAGCCATCTCCCTGGCCTAAGGTCCTGAGTTTGATTCCCGGTACAAAAAATAGGATAAGCACTTCCCTGGCAAGCGCAAGGGCCTGAGTTCAATCCCCAGTTCCATCAAAAAAAAAAAAAAAAAAAAAAAAAATAGTGTTATTGTTGTGTCTCCTGTCAAGCTCGGTCCAGTGGATACCTTCTTTGGAGGTATCTTTTGGATCATGGACTCCATTAGGACTGGCAGCTGTTAGTTTAGTGACTAGATTAAAGGTGGCTGATGTGCTTTTTTTTAAAACTGGGAATTGAATCCAGAGTCTTGTCCTGAGTTACATCCTTGGCCTATTTATTTATTTATGACTCGCTAGGTTGCCCAGCCTGGGCTCAAACCTGTGATCCTCCTGCCTGCACCTGCCAAGTTGCTGGGGATATAGGCATGTACTGTATCTTTAGTTCAGTTACTGTCCAAGAATCCTATTAAGTCATGACATTTGTACATATGAGATCTAACAAAGTACCTGAGAAACAGTCCAAGGTACTGTAGAGTTGTGACCATGTTTCTCATAGGGTCTTACAAGAATCCTCTGGCGGTCCTCCTGGAACATAGTTTGGGAATTAAACCACTGTCTATCCTGTATTGGATTGAACTCAGGTCCTTGCGCTTGCCATGGAAGTGCTTATCCTGCTGAGCCATCTCCCCAGCCCTAGAATCAGTTTCTAAACCATTATTGCCATGGCTAGCCACAGCCACAGCACACATTTTGTGTATGTGTGTGTGTACACGTGTGCGCATGTGTGCATGCACAAGGGATAATGTTTAGTGTAGCTTACTGTTAAAACAAGAGGTGCTGTGGTGGCACGTGCCTGTAATCCCAGCTCTTGGGAGGCTGAACTCAGGCGGATCACTATGAGTCCAGTCTACATAGTGAAACCCTGTAGACCCTGTACAAAAATACAAAAACAGAACAAAGCAAAAAAAAAAAAAAAAAAAAGAGAGAGAGATACTGTAGTTCTAGTTTCTCCCAAGCTGGGCCTAGGAGTCAAACCCATCTCTGAACTCCCATGGCTCCTGGGGGCAGGGGAATGCGCATGTGAATCTGGGCAGAGCCCTCCGGTTGCCTGCATCTGACCTCAGTGCCTCTTGCCCTCACTCTGCAGGCACTGAAGTATGCCTTCCAGACACACGACCGCCTGTGCTTTGTGATGGAGTACGCCAACGGTGGGGAGGTGAGCTGCAGCCCCTGGCCCGACTTCCTGCATCTGTGTCAGGGGCAGGGGGGTGCCTTGATGGAATGGCTGGAGGGAGGCTTGATGAGTGTCAAGGCCTCCTGCCCGGCTTTCTTCCACTGAGATTCAGGAGGCTCTGTGGCTCCTGGCTCACACAGCTAGTGAGTGCACTGTCTTGGGGCTCCAAAGGGGTCCAGAAAGGCACAAGAGAGGCTGTGGGGGTGGCTGGGTGACTGGGCAGAAGGATGTTCTCTTTACAGGTTCCGAGGAAAGTACACAAGGGTTAAAGTCTACTGGCTCTGCTCCCTGTGTTTTCCTCTCCTTTCCCCTCCTACACATCAGTGCCTTCCTCTCCCCTTGTCACCTGTTTGTCCCTCACTCCTTCTCTGCATGCAGATGGACTTAGTGGACTGGCTCGTTGGTTTGCATTGTTGGATTTGGTCCTATAGTTAAGTGTCCTTTGCTCATGACTTGTGTTTGTCCTTGCTTTCCTGCTGTCACTCTCTCCTTCATCTGTCCCTTCCTCCTGTTCTCTAGATCCTGTCATTGGTACCTGCTGGCTGTTGTCACTCTTTTCCTCTGCTTTTGTTTTTTTCTTCCTGTGAGCTTTTCTCAGTCACTGTCCTTTGCTCAGTCCTTGTGGCAGCATGTCACAAGGGTGGCTGTGGGGCCACACTCCCTTTGGGGCTGGGATCTGATCTCTTCCCACCCTCCCTGCAGCTCTTCTTCCACCTGTCCCGGGAGCGAGTCTTCACAGAGGACAGGGCCCGGTTTTATGGTGCAGAGATCGTCTCGGCTCTTGAGTACTTGCACTCACGGGACGTGGTGTACCGTGACATCAAGGTGAGCATGTGGCTGGAGTGAGGGGCTGCGAGCACAGCACCCTTGTGGGCTTCACATCAAGGAGTCAGCCTCATGGTTCTGTGGTGAGGACTTTCCTGAATTCCTGTGAGCAGTCCCAGCTATTGGTGGACATGTGTGTTAGTGCAAGCATAGTTTAAAACATTTTTTTTTTGCAGATAGGGTATTTTGAGACAGGGCTGAGAGCTCTCTAGTGCAGGCTGCCCTGGGACTCACAGTGCTCATCAGCTTGAGCCTCTCCAGTGCTGGGCTAAGGTGTGCATTCAGATTGTAGGAGCCTTTTGGGAAGTGCCAGTGCAGTGTCCTCCCCAACAGAGCAGCTGCGTTCACCTGGGCACATGTGCACACAGCTGGGCAGTACCATTCACACTGGCCACACCCCGCCACAGAAGGCCAGAGACGTGTGGTTCCTCCACATGGAGGGTGCCAGGCAGCAGAAAGAGAACAACCTACAGTACTCAGCAGGTGGACCTACCTCCTAGGCTAGAGCAGATGGGGTCCACTGTGGTCTGTAGATATACATGTCAGTGTTAAAACTTACAGAAGAAGGGCTGGGGATGTGGCTCGGGGTGGTGCATTTGCCTGGCATGTGTGGGGGCCTGGGTTCCATCCCCAGCATGACAAAGAAAAAAAAACCTGTAAAGCTGAGGTGGGAGATGTCTGATAACTAGGAAGGGGCACATAGAAGTCCCGGGCTTTCCTGATGTTATTTCTTGACCTAGTGAAAGTTATACAAAGGTACCACTACATTGTCCATTTGTTTTATATTTTTCTTTGCTGGTGTCTGTTTCATAAGTAAAAGAAAAATCTTTAGAATAACACACAACAAAGAGTGCCTTTAGTGGCACTAGACCTTAAAAAATTTCAGTCTTCCCTTAGTGGGAGGCCGGAACACGGGGTGGTGTTACATCTGACCTTCTATGAGCTTCACAGGGTGAATGCTTAACTCTAATGGTGTGTGTGTTCCTTTGCACACACTGTGGCTGTGCTAGCCCCAGGGAAGTTGGTGCCCAAGTGCCCCTGACATAACAACTGATGCCTCAAGCCACAGCCTCCTAGTAGCCAGGGCTGGGTGACAAGGAGCCCTGGGAGTATGTGAGTCTCAAACTGATTTTTCCTGCAGCTGGAAAACCTCATGCTGGACAAAGATGGTCACATCAAGATTACTGACTTTGGCCTGTGCAAAGAGGGCATCAGTGATGGGGCTACCATGAAAACCTTCTGTGGGACTCCGGAGTACCTGGCGCCTGAGGTGACTGGGGCTGAGGGGTGCAGAGACCTGTAGGCCAAGGGTGGAGGGGTGACAGAGCCATGACCTTCCATCTCCCCCGCTGCCCTAGTGTGGGGCTGCCTACTCACTGGCCCTACCCCACAGGTCCTGGAGGACAATGACTACGGCCGTGCCGTGGACTGGTGGGGGCTGGGTGTGGTCATGTATGAGATGATGTGCGGCCGCCTGCCCTTCTACAACCAGGACCATGAGCGCCTCTTCGAGCTCATCCTCATGGAGGAGATCCGCTTCCCGCGCACGCTTGGCCCTGAGGCCAAGTCCCTGCTGGCCGGATTGCTGAAGAAAGACCCCAAACAGAGGTGAGGGCTGGTGTCTGCCCCGCCCAGCCCAGGGCCCCTGCTGCCACTGTCCCTCAGCCTGGAGGCTGTAGTGTCCACATGAATAATCCTGTGGGCTCACAGTATGTGTTGTCCCCTGTGTAGCCCCTGAGGGTCCCTGCAGGTGGCATTGGAAGGCACCTTCATGCTCTGGGCCAGTCTTTAACACTGCCTGTGCTGGTGATTTATGGAGACATTGAGAAATGGGCAGTGCTGTCTCTGGCCCAGGGGTATTGAGTTGTATGTAGCTGAGCCAGGATATAAATCAGTCATTTTCTAGTCCTGTGCTCAGGGCCAGGGCAGGCTGTAAGTCCACACAGGACCTGATTGGTGTCTCCCCACTGTGCCCCTGAGCCTGGGAGCTAGCTTTCTTGAGCTCTTTCCCCCACTGAAGTGGTGGTTTGCGGTCAGGACAGTCTTAAGGCTCTGAGGGGCCTGCGTGTCTCAGGCTCACGCCTGCCACATGGAAGCCTGGTGTCCTGGCTGCTGCGGGCCCGGTACTGATGGTTGTCTCCACCCAGGCTTGGTGGGGGGCCCAGTGATGCGAAGGAGGTCATGGAGCACAGATTCTTCCTGAGCATCAACTGGCAGGATGTGGTACAGAAGAAGGTGAGGCCTCTCCCTACCCCAGCAGGAGCCCCGAGGCCTGACATGGGCCAGCTGGCTTGGGGCCTGCCCTCGGGGTCCCTGAATATGTGCTCCTGTCCTCTAGCTGCTGCCACCATTCAAGCCTCAGGTCACTTCTGAGGTTGACACGAGGTACTTCGATGACGAGTTCACCGCCCAGTCCATCACAATCACACCCCCGGACCGCTGTGAGTGTTGGGCCACTGGGTCTGGCGGGTGGGGGTGAGGTGTACGCAGATCCCTGGAAGGACTCTGGCAGGCCATCCTCTCTGCACCTGGGAGTTTGTCCTAAGATCTGAGTGTAGGGCCACTTACCATTGGTCCTCTCTAGGCTGGAGGAGGGTCACTAAGGGTCACTAAATGCATTCTAGACCCTGGGTTGGAGCTCTGGCAGGAGATGCCAATTGTTGGAGAGATTGATTTTTTGAATCTTCTGCTGTCTGTGTTTACTGTGAACCCACCTGGCTGGACTAGAGATGGCGGTGACCACGGATGACCGAGCTGGCCCTGAGCCCTACCCTAGGGGAGCCCCAGCAGTGCAGCTTGGGGCCTGGCCCAGAGTGGGTCAGTTTGTGTAGGATGGAAGGACCCTGGCACAGAGCAGAGGGGGTCCCTGAAATAGGCTGTCAGCTGGGGCGCATCCCTGGGGGTGCATGTGGTAGGGAGAGCTCGGCAGTGGAGGAATAGCTTTCAGGGAGAACAGAAGGTTCAGGAAGGTAAGAGGGCGTGGGGGTCAGCCTTTTGACAAAGGATCTCTGGGGTCACCAGGGGAAATGACTTTTTTCCCACTCTGCAGTTACATCCCGGCCCTTTATTTTTGAGACAGGATCTTACTAAGTCACCAAATTGCCCAGTCTGGGATTGAACCTGCTGCCTTCCTTCCTCAGCCTCTCAGAGAGCTGGGATTTCTTTTTCTTATTTTTTTTTTTAATATTACATTTGTTATTGGTAATGTAGATAAACATTCATCATGTATGTGTACCCCTACATGATATACCTTCTTTCATTTTGCCTTTCCCCTCTCCCCTCTTCAGTCCCTTATTTACAAATTCTGTGTTCCCATTTTTTTTCTTGTCTCTTCCTTCCTTTCCTCTCCCCCTCCTCCACATTTGAACATTTTCTTGGAGGGCTGAGATCACAGGCATGTGCCACCATGCCTGGCCAGGGGATCTTTCACTTAGGGAGCCAAGGAAGGGCTTGGGGCAAAGGGATAGGGCTGCACCCAGGTGTGAGAAGGTCCTCTGGCTCCATGTGGTGGGCCGGGTGGGGCATTCTAGCTGGAGAGGTCTAAGCTAGAGTGTAGTGCGGGGAAGAGGAAGGGAGATGAAGGGGACGTGGGGCAGGGGCTGTGGGTACATCCCTGACAGGTGGGCTGCGGTTGAGGGAGGGCTCCTTGGAGAGAACTTGCCGAGCTTCCTGTCCATTCTCGGGGAAGCCCTGGTTGGCTGGGGGCTCGACCTGTGGTCCCACTGAGTCTTCCAAGGGATGCCCCTGGCTGCCTGCTGGCTGCTCACCCCGATCCGCCTCCACCTACCCCCACAGATGACAGCCTGGGCTCACTGGAGCTGGACCAGCGGACGCACTTCCCCCAGTTCTCCTACTCGGCCAGCATCCGCGAGTGAGCCGCCGCTGTCGCCAGAGGACACACCAGTGGACGCTGTCCATCACCTGGGTGGCTTTTTTAAGAAAACCTTTTTATTTTGCCTTTTTGGTTTGTGTTCCCATCCCTCCCTCCAGTTCCCAGTATCTCCTTCAGTCCTTGCCTGCCCTCCCCCCGCACCCCTGTAGCCATCCCCACCACCTCCCTCTGTGCCCAGACCAGTGCTGGAGGACTGGCCACCTTCTGCCCTGATGGCTGCTGGGAGGACAGAGCTTCAGGTCTTTCATCAATACCAGCCCTGGAGAGGGCAGAGCGCAGAGCTTAGGGGTTGGCCTGGATTTCTGGCTGAGCGTTCACAGGCGCTGCCTGCGCTGCTGCTTCTGGGGAGAGGCTGCTTCCAGACGGCCACAGGAGATGATGCCCATGGCCTTCTGTGTCCTGGGCCTGGCTCGAGGGCCTTAGTCCACCCAGTGCCACCCCATGGGGGCAAAAAAGCAATAATGTCCAGGGATAGGCAGGGGGCCTTTGAAAGCTATGGGACCAGGGGTTGGGACTCCTTGGACCTGGGTTGTAGGGAACCAGGAAGGGGGCCACCCTCCTCCCCAAGCTGCTCTCCTGACTTGTGGATAAAGCAGGAGCCACTTTTGGGGCAGTCTGCCTGCCCCGCCCCCAGCCCCGTGCCTTACTAGGGCTTCTGTCCAGCAGGCCTTTCCCTGCTGGACCCTAAACCTGTTCCAGCCCTTTAGGAGCTAGGATTGCCCCTCCTTTCTGCCTGGGGCAGAGGGGCACCAGCCTCAGCTGTTACACATCTCTCACAGAGACAGTATTGGGCCCAGTGGACTATGGTTGAGGAGGGAGTGTGGTGGATGTCTCCAGTACATACTGGGGTGTCAGGCTCCCTCGCCCCCTCCCTGCCTCCAGGGCCACGTTCTGAAGCCTTAAGGTGAACATGAGCAAGCGTCTACATCCCTGCTGCGGACGGAGTCGTGGCTGTCCCTGCTTCTGGGATGCAGGCGCACGTGGCTGTGTGTGCGCGTGTGTGAGGGCAGTGTGTTCAAGCCCTCGAGTGTGCGTGGTATGTGTGGGTTGGGCCCCACCAGGCCCTGAGTGCTTCATCCTTCCTGTGGGGGGGGGTGTCTTGCTGCCCTTCCCCTTCCACTGCCCCCTCCCTGTCCTGGGGTGTTTGGAATTTAGTTTTTGTGATTTTGAGTTCCCTGTTCCACCTCTTGTACTAAGCAGTTCTCAGAAAGGCATGTGGGGGGTAAGGGTGGCTTGGGTCTGGGGGTGTCTTTTTTTTCCTTTCTGTGTGTGTATGTGGTTTATCTGACAACTCTTCCCACTCTCCCCCAGCCTTAGTCCCTGTATTTGTACGGTACGAGCAATAAAGACACTCATTTCAGAACGGGCCAGCCTGCACTTATGCCAGCCACCACCTGCCTGGCCTTGCATGGCCCTGGAGTCCACCCTGGGCACTGCCCACCTCTCCCTTGCTGTTCTTTGGGCCCTGCTGAGCAAAGGGGAGGGAGCAGGGGAGGTGGGCAGGTGGTGCTGAGCCCAGGTTGAAGACGCTGGGAGTGTGGGGAGGTTCCGCTGTCCTAGGGCAGGTGTGGCAAACAGAAACCAGTCCAGGGTTGCAGGTACTGCTCAGGCTGGAGCAGTAGGGTGGAACTGCAGGAGGGTTGGGTGGCCCACACAGGAGGGTACATGTGGCAGTGAGGCTGTGAGCTGAATGGAGGAGTGGGGCTTTCCTGCCACAGCCCCTTCAATACCAGACCCCTGAGGCCCATGGTCTGGTGTGTTGGTATTTGTCGTTGCCAGCAGCCAAGAGTGCCAGAGCCTTTGTTACAGCTGCTTCTAGCTCTAGGAGTCTCTCTTTGACCACTGTGCCCCTTTAACATGGGGCTGGGACTGTTACCCTGTGTCCCCATCTCCATGTCTGAGACATGGAGCCAAGCCATCAGGCTGTAGTGGCTTAATGCTCTCTCAAGGCAGGGGATCATGTCACACAGGGGGCCTGGCACAGTTGACTCAATGCATGTCTTACCAGGCATGAGAGTCTTGTCTTTGAGGCTTTAAGTGAGAGGGTCATGGGAAAGTGGGTCCAGTTCACAGGCTCTGCCACAGCCGCATTGCAGACACCTGGTGTGCTGCTGTTGCTGCTGGTGGTGGCTTTTCTGACATTATGTGGACCTTGCTGTCTTTAATTATAAGCTGGTGCATATGCAGGGTGCCTGTAAGATTGACATAAAAGCCTGTAGAGAAATGCCCTTTACCCTTCTCTCTAGTCCCAGCCCCAGGGTAATGGATATAAACAATTTCTCTCCTGTCACAGTGTGACTCAGATCTCCGGGTGTGGATGCATTCCTGTCTACCTCATGCTTCTTGCCCTCCTCTCAGGCTGTACGGGCAGGTCCCACACTCGGCCACCTGCTTCTCTTAGTGGGACATGTATCTTTAGATGTACTGGTGCTTCTTAGTTTAAGGTGATGAGTTTTAATACATTTTACCAATTAAAATTTGAGTACATTGATCTTTCTTGGTGTCTGTTTTCAACATTTCGTGTGTGTGTGTGTGTGTGTGTGTGTGTGTGAGAGAGAGAGAGAGAGAGAGACAGAGAGACAGAGAGAGAGAGAGAGAGAGAGACAGACAGACAGACAGACAGACACAGACAGACAAATGCAAATATAGGACAGAGTGAAACACCCCAGTTCCTTGAGTCTGTACTGTACTGTGGTGCCTTAGAGAGTTGCTCTCGCCAGGTTTGGGCAGCACATTGCTGCAGTAGCCCTTGGGAGGCTGCAGTAGGATTGCTGAGTTCCAGGCAGCCTGGCCTACACAGCAAGACCCTGCTTGACACAAAACAAAACAAAGGTTCCTCCCTCCTTTCAGCATCACTTTCCTGTCAGGTACTGCTCTACCCACACTGACAGGACAGATTATCTGAGCCTGCCTTCTGTGTTCTGAGGAATTCCTGGTGTCTGTTGCTACCTCACACTTTCCAGCAGATGCTATAATAAACCTAAGGACCTATATAGAGCCTTTCCTGGTCCTCGTCTCAGGAAGTTTGTAATCCCATGGTTAAGTTCTTGGAATCCCCTTAAGATAATTCCAATCTACCACTTCCAGTGCAATCCATGGTGAGATTAAGACACTAAAGCATATTTATACTTATGGGGAGCCAAGGGTCCTAAGTCCAGCCGTGGTGATGGCTATGCAGAACAAAGGCCTCAACCCTGGGCTGAACCTAGGTTTTATTCAGTCATGAAGGAGGAGTGGCTTGAGGATGAGAGACTCAGAATGGCAGTGAGTGAGTGAGTGAGTGCTGTGATCTGGGATAGGAGGCCTGCATTTGCCTCTGCGATATGCAGGGAGTAATCTGCATTATACAATTGAGATAGAATCTAATGTTTTGAGGTCCAGTGCTTCAGCTCTGATGTGTAATCTTTCGAGCCCCAGGAAGTCATAGCCTTTGTTTTGAGGCTCCATCTCAGCCAACAGACCGTGTGCAGACTGTGGAGCACTGGCTCATTAAAGATCAGCAGGTGGACGTTACCTAGGAAATACGCCTGCCATCTTCAGAGACTACCACCAGCACCTCAGCTAGACCTAGAGGCATTGCTTAAAGCCAGTTGAAGGGGGCTGGGAAAAAATAAGAGAAAGTCCTAGCCAGCTCTGTACATATCAATACATGGAAATAGGGTCAGGCACAGCCCAAGTGGAGACAACTGCTCTTTCAGGGAGAGTTGACCAAGGGCTGGGAAGATAGCTCACCGCACTAAGCACCTGCCTTGACAAGTGCAGGGAGTCAATGTGGTGGTGCATGCCTGTCATCCCAGAGCTGGGGAGGCTGCAAATGGGAAGATGGCTATGAGTCTGAGCAGTGGAGTGAGACCCTGTACCAAGTACATAAATGGAAAAGCAAAAACAAGAAACAGTCGTCCAGGTGGTGCTACCCAAGGACCATCTTCATTTGTGCTTTTATATTTGTAGCCTATATCCTAGGGTTCTGATATGTGTCAGTTTTCCCAAAAAAATAGTGATTCATGTATTTGAAAGTTTGAAATAATTGCAGGCTTACAGGAAGCTTTGAGAATGATTCTAAGATCAGGGCAGGAAGTGTAGTAGAGTATCTAGTGGTGTCCAGAGGGGTCATGTGCTGAACCCCAGGAGGGCTGGGATGGGGCCCCCACTGGGCCTGTGCCTGAGGCCCTCGGAAACAAGGAGAGCTCCCAGTGGTCAAAGCGGAAGAAGAAGTGAGCAACACAATAGTGCAGTATGGCGTTACGAGTCTACTGGAAAGTGGTAGTGGGAAGGACAGTGCAGGTTGGGTGCACAGGGTGGGGGCGTCTCGAGTATAGGATGGAGAAGGGTTGTTTCTCAGAGACCTGCTGGATACTTCATGAACAGCTGCAAAATTACGCCGACAGTGTCTACCGCTGATGGGAGGTGATCAGGATGGCGCTTGACCTGTGTGGTCTTCCTTCCCAAAATACTGGGAAGAAAGGCCTGGTGGCACATGCAGTAATCCCAGCACTTGGGAGGCTGAGGCAGGAGATCACTTTGAATTGACCAGCTTGGGCTACACAGCGAGACTGTGCCCCCTGCCCCCAACAACAACAACAAAACCAAAAATGCTTAAGCCCAGTCTAGCCAAGGGAAAGGTGACACCAAGTGAACCCCAGTAGAGGAACAGTGCAGGCTTCGAAACTCAGGCCTGCTCACTAAAGACAAGGAAAGCCTGATGTCCTGGCAGAGCCAAGGAGGAGAGACCTAAGGAGGTAGGACTGAAAATTCTTTGGGTGGGATTTTGGGACAGAAAAGCAGCAGGGAAAAGGCCAAGGCTGTGGAGTAGGGCAGGAATAGGGTGAGGCTCTCACTTCCCAGCAGGTGAACACTGGTTCCTTAGTTGGGACGGATGTTCCCCTGTAAGGTCTCAGTAGGGGGCTGTGGATATAGAGCTGTACTATTTTGCAGCTTTCTGTGAGTCCCAACAATTTTGTGTAAAAATATATATAAAGTAGGGCTGGGCATGTAGCTCCGTGGCAAAGCACTTGCCAGCACGTTCAAGCTCCTGGGTTCCAGCCCAGTAGCCTGAAAGAACAACCCTTCCCCAAGGTTCCTCATGACATTTTAATTGGCAAAATTTGCATTTCATAACATTTTGTATCTATTTTACCTCTTCCTGCTTCATGCACAGACCTCTATCGAACTAGAATGCTGTCTTCCATGCCTGAGGTCTAGTCACAGGGGTCAGGAAGCCAACTCTGACACAACGCTCCTCCGTAGACTTTAATCACATTCTACTTAGAGCCATGAGTAATATCTGTGTATTAACAAAACAGAACTTTCCTCCTGGCTAATGGCTCAGGCACTCATGCCGGATCTAGCTGTCTGGTTGGGAACTCACCGGACAGTTACTCTGAGGACAGTTCTCCCATCAGGACTTGTCGCCAGCTGTGTCTCTGTGGTTAATTCTGCTACTCTTGGGCAGAATTCCCATAATGACATCATCTCCCCATTATTGGGAACTGAACCACAAGAGCTTAGAACTGAACTCCATCCCCAACCCTTTTACAAAATTTAAGACAGAGTTAGGTGTGGTGGCAAATGCCTCTAGGCCCAGCACTGGGGAGGCTAAGGCAGGAGGATTGCCGTGAGTTTGAGGCCAGCTTGGGTTACATAGTTCAAAGCCAACCTCAACTACATAGTGAGCTCCTGTCTCAAAAAACCAAAACGAAAAAAAAAAAAAAAAAAAAAACGAAAATTAAGACAGGATTTTGCTGTTTTCTGGGCAGACCTTGAACCTGCAATCCTACCTCATTCTCTTGAGGGCTTGGGAATACAGACAGGCACCACTACACCCAGCACCGGGCCTGCACCTTGATGGATATGGGAGCCCAGATGGCATTCCGATTGGAGGAAGGTGTGACATGGCCCAGGTGTGCACCGGACCCTTGGGCTGCCTGCGGGGAGCAGGGAGAGCAACTCGGAGACCACTACGCTGATCCAGACTGACTGGTGACAGTCACTGTCTCAGGCCATGGTTTGGATAAGGCAGGATGCACAGGTGTCTTATTCCCGCTGAGTGACCCAGTGCAGAGGCCTTCCTTAAATACTCGTTCAGTGATTTATACCTCCAATGCCTTGAGTTTTGTGGTTTCTGTTTGTTTTAGTGTATCAGCCTCTGTGCCAAGCAGTTTAACACATCTTCTAAAATCCTCAGGACAACCCTGTTTGCTAAATTTTGAAACAGTCCGTTAGGATTGAGAAAAGTGAAGTAGTGGCTGAGGCGCCAGGACAAGGACTTGACTGATGAGGGGTCTGGAGGAGGCGGGGAGTCCTGCCTGCCCACCTGCCTTCCCTCCTGCTCGCCTCACCGTTCACCTTTGCTCTGGCTCAGATGTAGCAAGCTAGGTGCGCGTGCGCATGTGCTCAGGGCATTCTAAGCCCCTGGCGTGCCCCTCCCTTCTGCAGGCGTCCACTGCTGGCTTCCTGAGAGACCCGGCCAGCGCTCCCGGCCCAGCTCGAACCTCTCTTCAGACGCTGACTCCCAGCCCCTCCTCCTTTCAGGGTCCCGCTGTCTCCCACAACACAGAACCTCCAAGTACCCCAATCCCCGACAGCATTGTTGCGGTGGGCATGAGTGTCTCCCTTGATCACAAGGAGAGGCCCCCAGCACCACAGGCGCCCCCGGGGCTGGAGGAGGCGCTGAGCTTGCTGGGGCTGGAGGGGGAACGCGAATATGCTGGGGACATCTTTGCTGAGGTCATGGTGAGCAGGCAACCCTGGCGCCATCCCTGCCCTGGGGAGCAGCTGACCCAATATGCCCAAACCCCAAACTCTCCTGCGGCCCAGCAAGCTCCCTTTCCTACCCACAGCTTACAGACTACTCCTTCCCACTCCCAAACTGGGACTGAGCTCACTGAACTGCATCCCCAGCTCTCCTAAAGGCATTGAGTTGCCCTAACTGCTCAGACTCACAATCCTGCCTCAGCTATCTAGAGTGGTGGGCTTACAGGTGTGTGGCACGGACCAGCTTTCTAGGCTTTTCTTATTTTCCTCTTCTCCCTGAAATACCACTTCCCATGGGCCCCAGGCTGTCTGTAGCCCTCCCTTCAGTGTTTCACAGTCCCTTGTGCTTGCCATCTGTTATTTAAGAAACATTTAGAGCCAGGCCGTGGTAGTAAAATCAGCCCTCAGGAGGCTGAGGCAGGAGGATTGTTGTAAGTCCGAGACCAGCCTGGGCTACAAAGTGAGCTCAAGGCCAGCTTGAACTGCATAGCGAGACTCTGTCTCAAAAGACTAATAATAATAATGGTTTAACATGTTTTCAACATGTCCTAGGCTGCTATGATGAGTATCTATTTTCATTCTAGGGAGACAAATATATCCTTTAATTACAGAAAGTCACAAAGAGCAGAAAACAGGCGATGATAGGTCCCAGAGGTGTCAGCTGGAAGAGATTCAACCCATATACACCAACCTCTTTTGGGCTGAGGTCTCTGAGGACCTAAGATTCACTTTTGCCCATGGAAGTCTCTGTCCTTGCAGTAGGGGTAGTGTAATGGGGTCCACAGATCAAACATAAAGGGACACACTGGGTGACTCTGGAGTGAAGAAGGGGGGTGGTTTCAGAGAGCGTCTGAGAGGAATTAGGACTTCCTCCTAAGGGTACCAGGAGCCATGGAAGAGTTTTGATCTAGAGTTCCTTGGTTAGGGCTTCCTTTGCATACACCATTCTGCGTGCTCCTAGAGGAAGGATTTGTGGATTGGTGACAAGCGCGGAATTTGGAAATCCAGGAGTGGGGGATGCCGGGGTTTGGGGGCACACAATGGAGAGGTGGGTATCCAGGCATCCAGAACAAAGTTTACCATTCTAGAGGGCACCAGGGAAGAGGCCACAGTGGGAGACCAGCTTGACTGTGACGCTGCTGGGACGTTCAACGGTGGGGAGGGGACTGTTGTTGCACCTAGGGCTGGAGCTCGAGAGAGCGCCGAGGCACAGGTGTGGAGAGTGAGGCGTCCTCACCCCACCCCAGGTGAGCCGCACGCTGCCCAGGAGGGCCCTGCCCCGCGCCGTGACTCCGGAGATGCGCGCCCTAGTGGTGGACTGGCTGGTGCAGGTGCACGTAAGTACCGGGGAGAGGGAGGGACACCTGTGTCTCCCTGGGCCCCGTGGTCACCCGTGCCCCTCCCCAGGAGTACCTGGGCCTGGTGGGGGACACGCTTCACCTGGCTGTGCACCTGCTCGATTCCTACCTGCGCGCGGGCCGAGTGCGCCTACGCCGCTTGCAGCTGCTGGGCGTGGCCTGTCTGTTTTTGGCCTGCAAGATGGAAGAGTGCGTGCTTCCCGAGGTACTTCCGGGGCGGGCTTGGAGGGTGGGGCCCTTGCCTGTCTGATTAAACCCCTACTGTGTGCCAAGTACTTCACTGTATACTTGGCAGCCCAGCGAATCTGAGCTAGGAGCTGTTGATGTGACCCTTAACAGAAACAATTTAGAGACTCAGAGACCGTGTTTCAAAATTAAAAATAATAAAAGGTTGGGAATGTAACACAGTTCGAAGGCACTAGGTTAAACCCTCCATACTGGTGAGGGGCAGGGCGGAGGGGTAACAAAAAGTGAGACTGAGGCCCAGAGAGGGGATGAGATTTGCCCAGTTGTGGCTTAAACTCCCTCTGTAATAGTTACAGTAATAGTGTGAACATGCATAAATTCGGGCCTTTGTTGGAGCTGCCTGGGAAGTGGGCAATATTATCTTTATTTTTTATTTTGCAGTATCTGGGATTGAATTCAGTCAGGGCCCTGCGTTTGCCAGGCAAGGTCCCTTGAGCTATCCTCCCTGGACCCAGCTATCTTTCCGGGCCCTATCCTGTTTTTATGGATGGAGGCAGAGTTTAAATGCCTGTCCCACGTCAAGCAGCAAATAACGCTGGATCCTACCAGCTATTCCCTCTTTGGAGCCCCCGCTATTCATGACTTCTAGACAGAATGGCCGGGGGAGGGGAGATAGCTCAGTAGAATAAGCGCTTGCCTGGCAAGTGCAAGATCCTGCGTTCAATCCTCGGTACCAAAAAAAAAAAAAAAAAAAAAGGCATCTTCAGTCACATGGTGTTTTCAATATCAAAAAAAAAAAAAAAAAAAAAAAGTGGCCCTCGTGTTACAAGATAGTTAACAGAGGTAGGAACTTGGACTGAACCGACCCCAGGCTCTCTAGGGCAGGATATCCAAGGCTACCCCCAGTGCCATCCGCAGCCTGCCTCCCTCTGCCTCCTGAGCGCCGGCTCCTTCTCGAGAGCGGAGCTGCTCCGCGCGGAGCGCCGCATCCTGAGCCGCCTGGACTTCCGGCTACACTACCCCGTCCCGTTGCTCAGCCTCGGACTGCAATCTGCGCTGGCTGGGAGCCGCCCCCAGGTGCGCCTGGTGGGGGAAGGGCGGAGGCGCGGGCGGGGCGGGGCCTGAGGCTCAATCCCCCCCTCCCCTGCAGGTAGTGCTATTGGCCACCTACTTCTTGGAGCTCTCCTTGCTGGAGGCGGAGGTCGCGGCTTGGGCTCCTGGTCTTCGAGCAGCTGCAGCGCTGAGCCTGGCACATCGTGTGCTTGGCGGAGCGGGCTCCTGGCTGCAGCCGGCGCTTTACAGGTACGGCCTACTGTACTGTCTTCAGTTGCACGGAACCTCCCTTCCTGGGCGCCAACTTGACCACCTCAGAGAATGAGACTCACCTAGATTTGATTTCCTGGACGTGGGAGACAATGGGGTGTCTGCCTAGCCTAGAGGATCCCATTCGCTGTGACAGAGAGTGCAAGAGGGTGGCGGTGTTCGTGCTGACTCGGGGACTCAAGGAAGATGAGGTCTTCCCAGGTTCCGGAGGCTGTATTCCAAGTTTGAGAACGAGACTCAGTTCCAGAACTGTCTTCGGGTGTGGTGTCCCTTTAGCTGCTAGAGCCAGTAACCATGTTAACCACACTACTGGATAGCAAGGTGAACCAGCTTTTCTTAGTTTGGGAGCCCAGGGTAGAGCAGATGACTTCTTCCCTCCTCGAGGGTCCGAGATCCCCCAGAGAGAATCGGACATCTGTCCCCTCGATGCTCTCCAAGCGAGACCACATTCCAGGTGTCTTCTCAATCTTGAGTCTCCAGCCTCTTCCCTGCCTCCGTTTTTCTGTCTCCCTGCCCCAGACCCTCTGAGCTGGACCCCCTGGAGCTGTGCATGGTCGGTGCTGCGCTTCGAGGCCCCGAGCCGGGCCGCGCCGCAGTCTTCCTTAAGTATGCGCGGCCCCAACGCCAGGGCATCAGCCTCACTGCCGCCCGCCTGCTCCGCCACCCCCAGCCTGGGCCTCCCTGAACCCCGAGGGCTGCCCAGAAAACCCAAGTTTTCACTGTGTGTTTGCCTCCTATCCTAATAAAATAAATATCTTTTATTCTGAGCGCTCTCTTTCCTGATTGGTTGAAAGCCAATCACCTCTCGCTTTTGATTGGTAACTTCTTAGGCTTCTCATCCCTCTGATTGGCTATTCTGCCCAAATCCTTTAATAATTTCTGGAGTTTAAGATGCAAATTCTAAACTCTTCCGCGAGGGGGCACTGCCGGACTTCGCGCCACGCTGCTCGCGCTAGCGGTGGGATTCCTTCTGCGCTGTGAACAAACTGCAAGGCGTGGAAACTGAGAAGAGTGCCCGGCCCAGGCATGAAGAATGCGGCTTCGAGTTTGCCATCTTTTCACATTTTACTCATGTAAATCTAGAAATCTGCAATTCCAGTAACATCTCAATGTACATTGTCAACGAATTCAGTGTGTTTAATGGTTGTATAAATCAATTACATCACCTGTGTTGACCTGCAGAAGTCATCAGCTGGTAAGATCCCTGACAATAAGAGTTTAATAAATGATGTCTGATTTGCTTAGTCTCTGGAGGGACACTGTCAATAGCACCGATCTCACAGTGGAGTGTGGTAAGGATATGGGTGGGTTTACGACAATGCTGACATTTACCAGCTGTTGCAGAAATGTGAACATGGCACTCTAGCAGGACTAGGTGCAGTCTAGCCGTGAGGTACAGTTGTCACCTGTTTAGTTTGCTGCTGTCACTTAGGTGACATAATATTTGTTATGAATCAATGGATTTATGTCTTTTTCATTAGAAATAATTCAAACACATCTGCGGCACAGAAAGGTGAGTGCGCTGCCAGGAAATTCAAACTCAGGAATTTGAGCCTTTATCAGTCAGAGTTTGTAGGTGCAGAGAGGGAGCTGTGTCCATCCATGGAGTTTTCAAGGTCAGAATGGGGGCGGGGGTGAGACTCATTCAGCAAAAGCACAAGGGATGCTTTTGGGATGGATATTGCTGAGTTCAGGTTTTGGACAGTGGGTGGGACCTGTCTTGGGACCTACCAGGGGATCTCCAGTGACAGGGATGGGGACAGTAGAGACATAGGCTTGGTGCTTATGGCTGAGACCAAAGTCAGGGTCTTGGAGTGGGGAAAGAACAATGAAGAAAACAAAAACAAACATAAAACTATTGACTGCTTTCTTTTTCAACAATGATCTATGGATCCTGAATCAGAGCCAGGGATTTGTGATCAAATAACTGAGTCTAATGGATGGTATGCAATCACCCCTTGCATCACCAGGCCCTGTGCTAAGTGCTCGATTTGCACAGTGTAATGCAGTCCTCCTCCCCGGGTACATACATGAGAAGGAAGTCAAAGTGAGGGAAGGGCAAAGAATCTTGCCACGATCCCACAGCTAAGGAGGCAGCTGAGGAGGCCTGGAGGACAGTCACCTCACTCACCTTTCATTGCCTTTTCAAAAGCCTCCCACATGTTTCCTGCTTCAAATGTTCATTCATTACCACGTATCCCGGGACTTGTGTGCTTCCTTGTTGGCTTTCCCTTGCTGATGTGAGCTTGGTGAGGGCAAGACACTGCTCTCTCAGTGGTAGAATTATTCCCTCCTCGTAGAAGCTGTCAATCATCACCTTGGCCTGGTGCAAGGCCCCATTGGGCCCTCACAGCCTGTCAGGTCTCCTTCATCCCCAACTTGACCCCTGCGCTTCCCAGGTTAGCCCACTCTGGCTGTCACTGTTTGGTCAGTGGTCTGTTTCCCACTGGGTTGAAGGGCTCAGGGAGGTTAGAGTCTTAAAGCTCCTCTCAGTCTTTATTGTGACCCAGACTCATCCAGAAGAGAGCTAGCTGGGCACAGAGAAAGTATCAGTTTATAGTTGTTTGTGGCATACATACACGAAAGAATTCCAAAGTTGATATTACTTCATCCGTGTTACTGGATATGGAGGTCTAGGACATGTGAGTGAATTGCCCAAGTAACTAGTGAGTTTAAGAAAGGGTTTGAATTTGGACAGCTTCAGCCCATATCCTGTTTTCTTATCCAGCATGTCAAATGGCTATGGGCTAAAAGCCAGCTTTCTCCAAAGTTAATGTCTTTCTGCTCTTTCCCTCAAGCTCATTCTTTTCTAGAAATCTTCAGGAGCTTTGGACATGGAGGGGAAGAACAGGCAGGAAGGTGGGGAGGGTAAGGGGAGTGGGAACAAGGGAGAGGCGGCTGGAGCGTTAGGGCTGGGGCTGACTGGAAGGGGAACTGCAAAGTCTTTAGGGGATTCTCTAGACCCATAGGGGGCAGCCGGAGTCGGCAGCCGGAGGTGCGGGGGCGGAGAAAGGGTGGGGACCGGCCCCGCGGGGGGCGATGCAGTAGCTGCAGCGGCGGCCGCAGGAGTTTCCCACAATGCAGCGCGGTGCGCTGTCCCCGGTGCTGATGCTCAGCGCTGCCCCGGAGCCTCCGCCGCGCCCGCCTCCCGTCCTCTCCCCTCCGGGCCCGGGCCCCCGCCATGGCTCGTCTCGGTCGGGTCCTGCCCCAGAGCCGTCGGGGGGCCTGGCTGCGGCGCTCGACAGCAGCCTGCGGGCCGCCGTGGCGTTCAAGGCAGAGGGTCAGCGCTGCTACCGAGAGAAGAAGTTCCGGGAAGCCATCGGCAAGTATCACCGGGCACTACTGCAGCTGAAGGCGGCTCAGGGGGCCCGCCCTGGCGGCCTGCCTGCCCCCGCCCCCGGGCCTGCCACCAGCCCGGGGCCCGCCCGCCTCAGCGAGGAGCAGCGGCGCCTGGTGGAGAGCACGGAGGTGGAATGTTACGATTCTCTCACGGGTACGGGCCGTCGGGGTGTGCAGAGGGGCACGCGGGTGAGACAGGTGGCGAATGAGGAGCAGTCAGGAGGCCCTGAGGACTGGGCACGAGGAGGGAGGGGGCAATAGGGGCCGAAGAGCCAGGGCTGAGGTCTGTTGGGGGAGACCTCAGAACTTGAAAAAGGAAAGGGTTGAGTCAGGCGGTCACAGGAGCCTCAGGAGGGAGAGCGCTGGGATACAAGGAATGGACGTTGGGCTGGGTCTTCAGAACCTCACTTCCCTTTAGTCATTCTTTCCTCCTCATGCCAAAGGCAAGCAAACCTAAGGTGAGAAAGGCTTAGCCTGCATGAGCCTCTGCGATTGCCCTTAATACTTTTACTAGCTGAAACCCTTCGGCTGTTTGTCAAGACAGCGCCTCTGTGTCTTTCGCGCCCTCTAGCGGCGGCGCAGATCGAGTCTAGTCTGATAGGCTAGCAGATTGGAGCCCTCTGGTGGCCCGAGTAACCGCTTGGGCCATGGGGAACCGGCAGGGTGCGATGCGGTCGAGGCCAGGCCCCTCGAGGTCACGTGGGCCCTAGGGGCGTCAGCAGGCATTCTGAGCGCGGGCGCCCGCCCCGTAGCTTGCCTGCTGCAGTCGGAGCTGGTGAACTACGAGCGCGTGCGCGAGTATTGCCTCAAGGTGCTGGAGAAGCAGCAGGGCAACTTCAAAGCCACCTACCGCGCCGGCATTGCCTTCTACCACCTGGGCGACTACGCACGCGCGTTGCGCTACCTGCAGGAGGCCCGCAGCCGAGAGCCCACAGGTAAGGGGCGGGGCCGCACAGGGAAAGGGGTTAGAGCGGAGGGAGCCCGGAAGCGAGAAGCAGGTAGAATGGTGGGCGTCTCCCAGCAGCTGTCCTAAGGGAGTGCTGTGCCCCCCCCACTGGATAGTCTCACCCGATCCACCTGTCCTTACACATTGCCCCCCACCACTCACCCGCCATTCTCCATCCTCTAATATCTACCTAAATACTTCTCATCTAGTCACGGACCTGTCCTGAAACCTTCCTGCCCAGCCCCTTCCGGGTCCACCTTCCTTCCCATCTTCATCTCTATTCCCCCCACCCCTACCCTCATTCCCTACCCATTCACTAAGCCTTCACACGCCCGCCTACTCATTCACGTTTCAGTCACCCACTCATTTGGCCAGGGCAAGTGATACCAGGAATCTGTGTGCGTGCATGCCTGTGTTGTGCGTGCACGCATGCTTACGTGTGCATGTGCGTGTACGTGTATGGTATTTGGGTGGCAGAGCTTGCAGGCTTGTTCTCTGCTCTTTGGGAGATAATGATGAGACGTGCTCCTGCATTGAAATGCTCAGCCCACACTAGCACTTGCTTTCGTATCAAGCCCTGAAGAGGAGGGTAAAAGGGTCCCAGCAGGTGTATGGGGCAGAACTGTGGGGGCAGTGGCAAGATTAGCTCTTCCATTAAGAGGTTTGGTGAGAATAGACTTCTTGCAGATGTCCCTGGTGCTCCTGGCAAAGGGTGTAGCACATGCAAAGCAAGAAGGTGTGAAATGTCTTTGGCTGCTGGCTGCAGCTGAGCTTGGGGGAAAGGTGCCGATTTGCTGTAGGGGGACAGGAGCTGCAGATGTCGCTGGAGGCCTGAGGACACCTGAATGATGCTCTGCCCACCTCCCCTGCAGATACCAATGTCCTCCGCTACATCCAGCTGACCCAGCTGAAGATGAGCCGCTGCAGCCTCCAGCGGGAAGACAGTGGGGCTGGAGCCCAGGCCAGGGATGTGGTGGGCTGAGGCAAGGGGCTGCCTGTTCCCACCTCGCTGTGGAACTTCCCCCCACTCGTATTTGCTGGTAAAGCACTTGTCACTGGTGACCATAACCTCTGTGTGTGTGTGTGCTCTTGTGGGGACCAATAAGGGGACACAAATGGGATCTCATCCCTTGGCCCTTAGAAGCCCAGGGAGGTGTGTGGGATACAGGAGTGCCCTCTCCCCCCTTGTTCAGGGAAAGATACACAGCCATGCAAGGTAGGGGCAGGGATTACCTTTAATGCTTTTTTTTTTTTTTTTGTGCCAAATCCCCCATGATGCCTTGTCCCTGAGTATCCCTGCCCACCCTCTCCCCCACAGCAGGGTGGGCACAGGGCTCCACCCCTGGGGTACAAAGGAATAAATTAAAGAGTCCCTCCCTCCCTCCTTCCCCAATAAATAGAGTGAGCAACCTGCCCAGGGCTCTGCTCCTCAGGAGTGGCAGGCTGGGGCGGGGCCTGGGGCGCTACATTCAAGGCTGCCCAGGCGGGCAGTGGGGGCAGGCCTCAGGGGGGGCCGTGGGCCCCACATAGGGGCACTGTGCTATCCTGGCTCTGGCCCTCCATGTCCATGTCCAACAGCGTGGGCTGCACGCTGGGAGGCCCTGGGCTTTCCGGAGTGTCAGGCCTACTAGGAGGCGATATGCTGAGCGTCCGCCCAAAGGAGACCAGCTTCCAGGGGTCCAGGCGGGGGCGACTGGCAGCTGGCCGGGGTCTTGGGGCAAAGGTCAGGGTGGTGGGGCGGCCAGGGAACTCAGGGGTCCGACGGCGGGTAGGGAACAGGGCCTGGGGGTCTGGCAGGCGGGGGAAGTCCAGGGCATCTCGAGGGCCTGGGGAGAGAGGATCAGAGAGGTGAGCAGGGTGGGAGAAAGAGGGCAGGTCAAAGCCAGGAACATTTACATGACAAGTGCAGTTTCTGGCTTCTGCAGAATCCTCACACAAGCTTCACACCCTGCAGGCCCACTTTCCAGCAAGACAAGGGCCATCTGCTGCCCCATAGCCATTGACCTCAGTTCTCATCACTCCCGGTGGCTCCCTCAGCTGGGGGAGACTTTGGGGTGTCCCTTAGCCTTTGGAGTTGGCTTTGAGTAGCCAGCCCTAGGACAAACTCCTGTCCCTCCTACACTGGACTGGGTTTTGGTGGACAGACCTGCAGACTGTCTTGGGGCCTGACACTGTTTCTCAGTGGGGCTCTATCAGCACCTCTCTGCACAGCCCAGGCCAAAACCAGACAGTAAGTAACACAAGCGTCTGCGTGGTGGGTTCTCAAATCCTCCCCCTCATCATCGCTTTTGGGGTTGTAAGAGTACTGACTACAGGGCTGGAAGAGTTGGCTGTAGTCCTAGTGCTGTCGTAGTAGCTGTCCACCAGGCGCCGCAGGCATTAGCGTGCCGCCCCCATTCATTTTGCGTATCTGCCGCTCGGCCCCAAATCCATGCGCGGTGCCTTCCTTGCTAGGTGGGAGGCTGAGCCAGCTCGGGGCTGGCAGAAGGGATTGGCGCAAGGGGGATTTCTGCGCCCTGGGTGTGCGGTGCTCCCTCGCTCACTCACCAGGGCCGTGGCCGTGGCCCGTGGGCTCCAGTGGCCCCCGCTGCCCCAGCGCCCCGTCCGATGGCGTCCGCCGATGTCCTCGGTTCACAGAGTGCGCGGCCGTGACGTGGGTGGGAGTGAGCGACTGGCGGGGGTCCTTCTTGAAGCTCTCCAGCTCCAGGTCCACCAGGGGGTTGGTACTGGGTGAGGCTGAGGGCGAGGGCAAAGGCAAAGGCGAGGGAGGGGAGGGAGCCGCCGGTGCAGCCTCGTCGCTGTCTGAGCGCAGCAACGAACGAGTGGAGTTGCAGTCGGACACGGAGGAGAGTGACACGAGGGTGGCTGAGGGCACCAGGCCCGGGCCGGGGACCATGTCATCGCGGCGGCACTGAAGGCGCCCTGGTGGGCTGAGGCCCCGCGGGAAGCGACCGGCGCGGGGAAAAAAGAGGCCATCGAGCCAGCGCCGCTGCTCCTCGCAGTCGGCCGCGCGAGCCTCGGCCACATCTGCACCCAGGCCCACAGCGCTCAGCAGCGTGGCACAGCCTAGCAGCGCAAGGTCGCAGCGCCGCCGCCCATGGCCAGGTCGAGCGGAGGGCGTGGCGGGTGCCGGCTCCCACGGCGCCCGCGCCCCTGGGGAGGGCTCGGTGGGCAGAGGCACCGTGAGGTAGGAGGCGGTGCTGTACGGGGAAGGGGGCACACTGCTGCCTCCGTCTGCCTCCACGAACTCCTCTGCAACAGGAAAGAGGGTCACTGGCTACGGGTCTGGCCCCTGGCCCTGTGGTAAGGCACTGACCCAGTGACCTCTCCAACAGCAAGATCCCCACATGCCATTAAGCATCTTTGTGGAATCTTTCTTCTCCTTGCCCTGGGAATGACCTTCACCCCATACCACCCCATCCTACCCGAGGGATGAGCCATCCACCTTCCCAGAAAACCTCCTATCTTACCCCCTGCCCGGGGAAAGGCTCACCCCTTTGCCCTGGATTATGTTCTCCTGTGGCCACTGCCTCTCCTCCCTCCTGGCGACGAGCACCCACAACTTCTTACCCATCTCATTGAGGCTGGCGAAGCCGGGGGCGATGGGGGTGTGTTTGGGGGATTTGCCTAGGTTGGGGGCACTTGATGACCACTGTTTGCTTCCTTCGCCCAGGGCCTTGAGCCTGCAGGGAGTGTGTGTGGGGGGAGGGGGATGGTCAGCTCTGTGGCTGCCTGGGGGCAGGTGGGCACAGGGGGCGGGCGGGCACTACCCCAGTACCTCTCTTCTCCTCCAGCCCGCTCCTTCTGCAGGGTGGAGCTGGGCCCCCAAGTCCGGCCCTTCTTCTTGCCCCCAACCAGTTCTTCCTTCTTTGGGGGCCCACTGCGGCCCCACGTCCCACTGCCACCACTGCTGCTGCCACTGCTACTGCCACCACCACAGTCCACAGGAGTCACTGGGTTGAGAGAAGCCACGTGGTTACCAAGTATTGGCTGGATTAGCTTCCAGCCTCCCAATCTCCACTCTCAGACTCCTCTCCCTGGGTCAGAGGGGTCTTCCCAGCTCCAGCCATGACCATTCCCTGCTGTAAATCCTGCTGTAGCTCCCACTGCTGTCAGGACACAGTTCTAGCTTTTGGCTTGACCTTCACAGCTGTGCTTAGTCGTTCTTCTCATTCCCCAGCCATGAGGGACCAACTCTACGAAGATTCTTGTTGCCCTCTTCTCTGTTCCTACCACTGTGAGTGTGCCCTAGTTCTGTTCTGGTGTTTGCTACCACTGCATGGTTGTCTGTCTTTGTGTCCCCTGCTAGGGTGACAGCTGGGGTGCCTGGGGCTGGGGGACAGAAATGGGAGTCAGCTTGGCGTCCTTAAACACATAAGTACACTCCAGCAGCTGCCTACCATGTGACCCCAATTGTGACCTTCTCAGCCTTCCAGACCCCCCTGGTCTCACTGGCCTCCAATGCCTTTTTTTTCTTCACAGCAGCCAAAAGGAAGAATCACATCTGACTGCAGCCCTGCCGGGCTCACATCCCTGTAGGGCCTTCTGATGTTTAAAATCAAACCCACTCTGCTCAGTGGCAGAGTGTGTGCTTAGCATGTGTGAGACCCTGGGTTTATCCCCAGCACTGGAAACCACCCAGATCCAGACCCTGATGCTGGCTCTTCAGGCCTCTGAGCCCCCTTTCCATGAATTGTATCCTCCCTTACTCCAGGTGATTCAACCTTACCTTCTCACATAGGCCATCTGCGTGTAAACAGGTGGCTGGCTGTATGTGACAACCTGGCTGGGCTAAGGGAGGCCCGGTTAAGCTGCTAGAGCATTGTTCCTGGGTGTGTCTTGGAGGGGAGGATTTCTGGAAGAGTTTAGCACCTGAGTGGGTAGACAGGCTCACCCTGCTGGACACGGCGGGCATGGGGAGGCCGGAGGATAGCACATCCAGGTCTAGCTGGGGCAACTTGGAAAATAAAACAGGGCTGGGGTCCAGGTCAGTGCACAGGCATTAGGTTCAATCCTCAGAATCAGGAGGCCGAGAGTGATGGCAGTGTCCACCCTCACCACCATGGCTGGGTGCCACCTATTCCCTTGAGGGGCTGGACACTACGGACAGGTGGAGGATGACGATCTTGCTCTCTGCCTGAGTAGGGCCATGTGTCTCCTGCCCTTGGACATCAACATAGCTGGGTTTCAGGTCTTGGGACCTGAATTAAAGTACAGCATCTCTTGCAGGGCTCCAGCTCACAAATGGCAGATTGTGTGATGTCCCAGCCTCCCTCAACCCTTCACCGTAATTCTCTTTCCCCTTGTCTGGGCATATGTGTTGATTCCATCCTCCATCTCACTTCTCTTGTCTTGTGGTGTTAACGACTGAATCTGGGGCCTCCTGCAGACTAAGTGTGGGCTCCATCACTGAGCTACACTCCTCACCCCACCCAAACATTTCTCTCTCTCTCATTCTTTTTTATTTTCCAGGGTTGGGGATTGAACCCAGGGCCTCATGCATGCCAGGCCTGCACTCTACCACTCCAGCCATCCATTTCTTCCCTGATCACTGCTGGAAATGAGCTTGCCTGTTCACTTATCTGTTTCCCAACTGGCCTTGCCTGTCTTGCTCCCTGTCATTCTTTGGCCAGTATATTCTCAGAGATGTTTGCTGACTGACTGGCTGACCGACAGAGACCTTGGAGATACTCACAGCGGATGGCCCTCAGCCTGGGGATGATACTGGGGCTGGCTGGGGGGCTGGCCCCATTGGATCCTTTCCGCTTGTCCAGGGTTGGAGAGGCCTGGACTGTGATCTTATGCTCAAAGCCTGCAAAAAGGAAGAGACTTCCCTAAGCAAATGGCGCATCTCCATGGTAACCAGAGGGCAGTTTCTACTGTAGAGGTACAGGAGGAATCACAGCACGGCAGTGGCATATGTGGCATTCCTTAACAAGTGGCTCTCAAAGTGTGGTCTCCAGACCGGCAGCACCAACATCGGTCAGCAGAAACACATCTGCACAGCTGTAATCCCAGCACACTGGGAGGCTGAGCAGGAGGATTGCAATGTCCAGCCAGCCTGGGCAACTTAGAATTTTGGGGGAGTTTTGGGAGTTTCTGCTCCCATGGGAGGTCCTTAGTGAAAAACTGGCTCAAAATAAAAATAAAAAAAATAGAAAAAAGTGGCTATGTGTGTACTTCAATGCAAAGACCCTGGGTTTCCCTGATACCAAAAAACAAAACAGAAAATCAAAAACCAAATTCCTTGCCCATCCCTAGGTATATGGCTCACATCTAACTGCTTGAGTAAGGATCTGGGCTTGAGGGGCCAGCGTGGCAGTCATGTGCTCCATGTGGCAGTAAAACAATGGAATGCGGCTGGTGCAACTGAGGACCGCGGTTCAATTTTTACTTATTTAATTGTAGTTTTAAAAAAGATACTTCATTTGGTTATGAGATATAAAACTTCGATATGCAAACCTAGTTTTCTGACTCTCAATTTTATGAACACTTACATACAGATAAAAAAGGGGTTTTTCCAGTACTGTCACCCCAGGTTCTCTTGTGTACTCCATTATTGAGTTACACCCCAGAGCCCCCTCTTTCTTTCTGTACTGGGAATTGAACTCACGTCCTTGTGCTTGCCAGTTAGGCACTTGTGTCACTGAGCTATACCCCTGGCCCTATGTATTTCTTTTTCTGGTACTATGGATTGAATCCAGGGAATGCTGAGGTATATCCTCATTCCATGAATGGAATCCCAGCACTGGGGAGGCTGAGGCAGGAGAATCACTATAAGTCTGAGGCCAGCCTGAACTATACAAGACCCTTTGTAGAAAAAAAAAAAAAAAAAAAGTAAAGCTGGGAGATAAAATTATAAACAAAAGTAAAACTGACCACCTTAAAAGTGAAACCAGAAGTCACTGGGAGAAGTCGCAGGAGGCTGTGTTGGGACCAGCATGTGAAGTACTTGGCCTGGTTTTGGGGGTCTCTGCTCCCATGGGAGATGGGAGAGTAACTCCTTCAGCCATATAGTTGTGACTGGGGGGTGTATTTTCTATATATTTAGCAATAAAAGTTTAAAAGGGGGCTGCGGGTGTGGTTTGCTCAGTGAGTCCCATCCCCGACAGTATGGACACACGGACACACACACACACGCCCACACAGGTTAAAAAGAAAACAAGGGGCAGAGATGAGCCTGGGTGTTGGCACTCCCAGCTCAGGAGGCAGGGGGTGGTACCCGAGGGCAGGCTGATGTGGCTGCTGCCTTCCCGCAACTTGAGCAGGCGGCTGCGCTTGAAGTTGCCCTTGCGCTTTCGGACCCGGGGCTTCTCCTGGCTAAGCTGGCACATAAGCAGGTGGAGCTCGCGCTCCACGATGTCCATCTCGCGCTCCGCCAGCTCCTGCTCGCGCCGCCGTAGCTGCTCCTCCTGGAAGCGCTGCTCCTGCGCCGCGCGCAGCAGCTCCTCCTCCCGGCTGCGCAGCTCCTGGAGGAGTGGGGGGCTCAGCCTCTGCAGCCACCATGCGCCTGGCACTGCGGGTCCCCTGGGCGTGTGCACCAGGGCATCTTGCTATGGGACACAGTGGGTTCCCATTCCCACTCACACCTTACAATCCAAGGTGCGTGCCAGGGCAGGGGCCTGCATTAGGCCAAAAATGGGGTCCCTTTCCCTTTCCTCTTTTTTCTCCTTGGCAAGCTAGGGATCCAGTATGCTAAGCAAGTGCTCTACCACTGAGCTACACTCTCAGTACTTTTTCTCTTTCTTTCCTCTTGCCTTCCTCTTTTGTTTTAATTTTTAGTTTTTCGGTCTTTTTGAGACAAGTTCTTGCTCTGCAGTTCAGGCTGGCCTTGAGCCCACTATGTAGCCCAGGCTGGCCTCGAACTTGCAACCATCCTCCTGCCCCAGCATCCCGACTGCTAGTTATGGCATGCACCACACCTGGCCAACACAAGAAGACCTAGCATGGACCCAAAGGCTGTGGTTCTAGGGCACGGGTGGTGGGCCTACGGCATCAGAACCCAGGGCTCCTGCTCCACCCTCCCACCTAGTCCTTCACCTTTTCCTTGGTCCTAAGGTCATCAAACATGTGCTGAATCTCCAGCTTCCAGTCTTCCTGCAGCGAATGGAAGGACTCCAGCGGCATCTGGAACAGGGCTGACTGCTCGATGACTTCAAGTTGCTTCAAGATGCTGCCGAAATCTGGCCTTCCATGCGGGTCAGGGTCCCAGCATTCTGGAGAGGAGGGGGGCAGATAATGGTGTGGGGGGTCAGGGGCTTATGTGGGGAGATCAGTGCACTGCAAGGAAGGCGGGGATTCTGGGAACTGTGGACAAACATCTTCCAGGGAGCCATAGTGAAGGAATTCAAAGTCAAGTTTTCAGCAACTTTAACTCAATGGAATGCTGAGACAAAGAATCTGTTCCATGGGGTGGGGCTGGTGGTGTAACACAGGTTTAGGCAGAAACCCCAAGGCCAAGGACTCCCAATAGGATGCCCTCAAGTGCTTAGGGCCTGGCCAGAGCCTGGCTGCAAATCCGTGGGGCCTCGTGGGAGGGAGTCTAGAGCTGGCCATGGGGTTCCAGCGTGTTCTCCCTCCTGAGTCTTTGGGTGGGGAGTAAAGGGGGAAGGCTGGGCCCAAGAGCTCCTGCCACCCAAAGCTGAGCCTACCCTTTCCATGGGGCCCTGGCTCACCCTCCAGTAGGCGGGCAAAGGGCTCGGGGCACGTGGAGGGGATGGGCAACGTCAGCTTGTTCATAGCTACGCCATACGCCACAGCCAAGGCGTCGATTTCGCGGTAGGGGACCTCACCAGTCAGCAGCTCCCAGAGCAGCACCCCGAAGCTGCAGACAGGGGAGAGGCAGAGGTGATGCTGCAGCTCCCTCCCCGACCAACACACCTAAGTCCCAGCTCTGCAGCTCTCCTGCGGGGCCTCCTCACCAGGTGTTACAGTCCAAGCAACTGACTGACCTCCTGGGCCTGGTCCTGAGGCAGGGTAGGTGCAGGCCCTCTGATGGCTCCCCTTTGCTCTGCCCCTTTTCTTTAGCCCTAGCCTGGAAACCTCAAATGGATCCCCCATACCTGCTAGGCAGATCTACCCTTCTCAGCCCTGACCTTGGATGACCCTGAGAATCCAGCCTCTAACACTCAGCCCCTTTCCAACCCTGACTTCCTCTTCCAGCCATGTGGAATGGTTTGCTAAGACCTGTTCTTCCTGCCGCTGGCCCTTGCACATGCTTTTTCCTGGATGAATAAGTCTGTAAATCTTCACTCAGGCTGCCCTCTGCCAGGAAGCATTCCTCGATTCTCCAGCCTCTGAAACTCGGTGAGAGGCTGTTCCTCTACCTTCCTATAGAATCCACAGCACTTACCTCAAAAACCAAGTTAGCACTAATTGATACTTATAGGTACTTACTCTGGGCCAGGCACTGTTCTAGGCAACCCTTGATAATCCTCACAACAGCCCTGTAAGGCAGAAGGCATCGGTATGTCTACCATTTAATCCAAGGAGCAGGTGCAGGCTCAGAGAGGTTAAACTACTTGCCTGAGGCCACACAGCTGTAAGTGGTAGAGCCGCACCTGATCTCAGGTCTGCCTGCAGAGTGCCCTTCAAGGACATGCAACACCAGAGTGTGTGTCACTGTGCCACAGTCACCTGTGTGTGTATCTCCCCCAGTTAACCTTCTGGACCCTGATAACTATGCTGTGCAGGTTCTAATGTGCCACAGATCTCGGTTCTCTCCCAATATCCATTCCTGTATTTCTGTAATTTATTTACGCACCTGCTGTGTGCTAGGTACTGTCGTAGGTGGTGGAAGGAGACACAACTGTAGTCCTCATGCAGCTGACAGCCTCCCCTTCCTCCCCAGAGACAGCACTAGTGATGTGAGCTGGGCCAATGTTGCCTGAGATTACTTCCCATCCTTCTTTGAGGCTATTTCCATGACTACACTTCAGGCCAATGGGATGAAGAGCCATATGTGGGGGCAAGTGGTTCTACCAGGTGTTCTTGAAGAGGCACGCGTTTCCTCTTTTCCTTCTGATTGGAGTGTGGGCATAAAACCTGGAGCTCAAGTAGCCATTCTGGATCATGAAGTGAATTTGGGAATTAAGGCTACCCAAGGTGGAAGAGAACAGTGGTTTTCAACCGGAGATAGCATGATCCCTGCCATGTCCCTAGGGTGGGGTGTTCTGATTGTCACAGGGGCCAAGTAGTGTCACTGACATCTGGTGTCTGGGAGCCATAGATTTTTCTTTTTTGGTACTGGGAATGGAGCTCAGGACCTTGTGCTTGCCAGGCAGGTGCTGTGCTGCTAAGTTATATCCCCAGTCTGAGCTATAGGTGTTTCTTATGCTGAAAAGCAAGGGACAGTGCTTGCTTCTCAGCATAAGAAATACCTATTTCTTATGGTAATAAGGGGGAAACCCCAAGTCTGCTACACCCTTTTGAGGATGGGGATGGTGGTGCATGCCCACAACCCAAGCATCCTGGGAGGCTGAGGCAGAACAGCAAGTTCACACCCAGCCTGGGAAACTTATTTAGTGAGACCCTGACTCAAATAACAAAACAGGTCAGGACCATAGCTCCATGTACAGGCCCTGGAATCCATCTGGGGAGTGGGGGCAGGGAGAGCCTAAATTCTCGGTACTGGGGACAATTACATCCTGTGCTTTCCACGGGAACGAAAACTGCAGTCTTGTTTTGTTTGGGGTTTCTCTTTTGCAGCAGAAGTCGATAAGGTGCCCTAAGTGGATGCCTGATGTAAAGCTGCCCGGAACTTCTCCAAGGAGCTGTTCTGCTCGAGGGGGAACCCGAGACATCTTGTCTGATGGGTCTCGGACCCAAACTCATGAATTCCTTGGACAACGTGGAGCCTCAGCTGGGACAGAAGTCACAGCACAAAGGGAGACCTGGGTTTGGCTCTTCCCAAGTGAAGGTGCTGGGTTGCCTGTCAACTCCGTGGCTACTTCTGTCCTTTAGAATCCATTCTGCACCTCATAGCCAAGGGAGCTTTTAACACGCTCAATCAGATCACATTCATAAACCATTCATAACCCTTTCACTGCACTCAGAGTGAAACCAAGGCGCCTGCTTCCCCTAGGTCCTGCGGCGCCGCATAGCTGCTAGCCAGGCTGCTGCCACATGGGCTCTGGCTAACTCTCTGGACCGGAACACACCCATTCTCACCTCCACACTTCCTCTGCATCCCCCGATAGTGCAGCTGGTTCCTTGTTACTCAGAGGCCCTTACAGCACTTACTGTCTGCCTCCCAGCCCCATGCAATGTCTAACAGTTCTCACTGTCTTTTAATTTAATTGCAATTTTCATAATTTAAAAAATGGCTTCTTTTAGAACCACGTGTGATCCTCATGCCTGTAGTCCCAGCACTTGGGAGGCCGAGACAGGAGGATCACTGTGAGTGTACAGCTAGTCGGCGCTATCTAGCGAGACCCTGTCTCAATAAGCAAAAAAAAAGTTAAACAAAAATTTTTTTAAAAGATGGCTGTTAGTTTTTTGTGTATTTTATAAACTGATTCTTCCTGAGGGCAGGATCTCCACTTTTGTTCCTGGGATGACGTGCAGGGAGGTGAATGGCTGGCTGGCTGGCTGGCTCTAGAGGTTCTCATTTCCCCTGCTACCAGCAGACTCTATGTACTAATTGGGGTGGGCCAAGGGCCTCTTAGTGCTCACATCCTTGTCCTATCTTCATCCTCTTCCTCCTCATCTTAGTTCTTTTGCATTGCCTGGGCTGGGACCCACAGCCTTGTACATGCGAGGCAAGTGCTCTACCACGGGGCCACACCCAGCCCTGTCCTAGCTCTACAGTTTTTGAGCTTTTTCTCCTAGTTCAAGTCCCTCCTCAAGGTCATCTCTGCTGCCAGAGCTCCTTCACAGCTTAGGCAGTGCTCCCTTTCAGGGGCCCCTCTTCCAGGTCCCGATCTGACAGCCGTCCCGTCCTTCCCCCCTTCCTCCAGGCCCCCCCATCCCTGCCTCTCAGCACCTCCAAACATCACTGCTTTTGGAGAAGAGGGAGAGACGGATAACCTCCGGGGCCATCCAGGCGTAGGTTCCCGCGGCGCTCATTTTGGTGGTCTTGTGCCACTCGCGGGCCAGGCCAAAGTCTGTGATCTTGAGCACCGTATCTGCAAGGTTGTGGTTCTCGATGGCCTCCAGGATAAGGACTGGGAGTGGGAGGGAGAAAAAGATGGGTCACCCAGACCTGGGGGGCTGCAGCCCTGAGCATACTGGCCCTCTGTTCTGGCCCCCACTACCTCTGGGTGCCCCACGCTGGGGTAACTAGGTTTCAGCCTGGAACTCCAGGCAACCAAATTCCTGTCCTACCAGTTCCTTCCCCAAGGCCTCTGTTCTGCCAACTCCAACTTAAATTGTGGGGAATGCAACAAATGCCAAGAACCAATGGCCAAGGCCTGAATTTTCCTCAGTTCAGGCCTTGACTTCCTACCCAGCTTGGAAGTGGGTACTGCCAACCATGAGTAGAAAGGAAAATGTGGTTTTCCTTCTGTCTTTACCACCTTGGTGGTCTCCTGTAGGTGAGGGCCCTGATGCCACCTCTTCCTGTGTCCACACTCTGCCCAGTGACTTTGCAGCTCTTCCACTACCAAGGCAGAATGGGTTTTCCCATCTTCTGACTCTCAAATTGCCATAATATGATTTGCCTTGGCCAAGGATGAGGTGGACATGACAGGGCGTTACTTCCATACCTAGCCTATACGTGCCTCTGGGGCACCTGCCATCATGGTGACAACAAGCCTTGGTCAGGCAACTGGTCCAAGGAAGATGGAGAGACTTGGAGCAATGCCTCTCAGTGGAGCCCAGCTAACTGGCTTTACCTCCAGCTTGCCTGGAAGTGCACCAGCAGAGACAAGTGACTGCTGTGTTAAGACACTGAGTTCTGGGGCTGGGGAGATGGCTCAGTGGAATAAGCGCTTCTCTGGCAAGTGCAAGGGCCTGAGTTCAATCCCCGGTTCCGCAAAAAAAAAAAAAAAAAAAAAAAAAAAAGAAAAGACACTGAGTTCTCAAAATACTTTGTTATGCAGCATCATTGTGAAAACATTTGACTAATCCATTCCCCAAGCATACTGAATGGCTCCAGCTCACCTGCTGCCTTGGGTTATTACTAACCAGGATCACAGTCATAGCTAAGATTCATTGCAAGCTAAGTCCTTTACAAGAATGGACTTTCACACAACCTATTTTTGCTGACTAGCAAACTGAGGCTCAGAGGAGTCCCTTGGCTGAGATCACATGGCTAGGAGATGGCAGGACAAAGACCTTTCATCAGGGCCCAATGGCTTAGCTGGTATGCTATTTTAAGTTTTCTATCACCACCTCTCCTCTGTTAAATGGGGATGATGACATTTATCTCTTAGGGTTATACAGTAAAGATTTATTGCTGAGAGGCCATGGCAGGAGGATCAAAAGTTCAAGCCCAGCCTGGACAACCTAATGAGAGCTTGTCTCAAAATATAGTGGGGCCTCAGTTGACAAGTTAATTCCTTCCACAGTTCTGATCATAAACTGATTTGATCAAGAACTAAATCAAATTCATTGGTTAGGTTCAAGTTGACTTTCTAGAGCAATCTGATTCTATTCTCATCCAATTTGGTTTGCAACCAGAATCATAGAAAGAATTAAGTTTGTGAACTGAGATACCACTGTAAACAATAAAGAACACTGAGGGGCTTGCTAGATAGTTCAGAGGATTAAAGTGCCTGCTTAGGTAGATGCAGGAACTGGGGTTTGACCCCCCCATGTGCCATACCGGCCCCCCACGCGTGGTGGTGCATGCCTATAATCCCAGTGTTTGGGAGGCTGAAAACAGGAGGATCACTATAAGTCTGATCTGTGTAGTGAGACCCTGTACTAAATACAAACAAAAAAAAAAAAAGATAGAAAAAGAAAGGAAGGAATAAAAAAAAAAAAGAAACAATAAAGAGCACTGGAGAAATAGTTCAATGCTAAGGCTCTGGGGTCCAATCCCTAGTACAAAACAAACAACTCCACCTACCCTTTGTCCAAAATGTACTGATGACAGAAAAACTTGGTGTATGGATCATGCCATGAATTAGCAGGGTTGATTAGAGATAAAAAAGGAGCCTCAGCCTTCAGCAGGAGCATGCTGGTGGCCCCGCCTCCACTCACCAGCATCAGAAGCTGGAGTGTGGGCATCAGTGAAGGCCGGGGTCACCTACTTGCATCTGTCTTGCTTAGCCCCCCAGCCTGGACATAGTCTGGGGATGTAATGGGCACTTGATAGCTATCTGCTGAGTGACTGCCTGGCTCAGGAGGTGAGGATGACTCCGCCCTCTGCTCAAGGGGCTTACGTTTGCAGTTGGTGAAGACATGGCAACAAAGCATTTGGAAGGGTTCAAACAAATATGAAAGTATAGGCCTGGTAGGAATCAGAAGCAGATGCAACGTGAGTGCTGAGGGCAAAGGGAAACTCATGATTCTGAGCGTGAGTGTGAACCGCGTGAGGGCAGGGAACATGTTGGCCTCTTTTATTGTGGATCACTCTGGTTTTTAGCATGAGATCTATCCTTGCAAATAGCAAGTGAAAGAATGAAGGCAAATTAAACAAACAAAAAAAAGGTGAAGGGAGTGAGATGGGACAGAGCAAGATTGGGAAAGCTGGGAAGGTGGGCTCTTCCCCTGCTGTGCGCCTAGGATAGTGCCTGGCATTCTGGAACACATGAGTGATGAATGAATGAAATGTCTAGTTTTTGACTACTGCCAGGTAGAAACATATGTTGGTCTCTTAGTCCTAACATATGTTGGGTTCCTAACATAATAGGCGCTTGAGGAATATTGGCTCATGCTCCGAGATGCTCTTTGGTCTAGATATGAGTTCTGGGACACCTTCTCTTCTACGTGGCCCCATTATTGGACCAACCAACCAACCAACCAACCAACCAACCAACCAACTTTACAGACCCAGTGCTAGGACAGGCAGCTTGGATGTTTTTATAGAAGCCACATGTGTTTTTTTCCTCCTTCATCTTTTCCAGTTTGCCTCAGATGCCTAGCAGGACTCTAGGAAGTGTTCCTCAGCTAGAGACAATTCTGTCCCTCAAGTGACACATGGCAATGTCTGGAAACTTTTTCAGCTGCCATAGTCAGGGACAGAAGGCAGGAATGCTAATGGCATTTTGTAGGTACAGAACAAGGATGCTGCTATATAACCTAAAAGGCACAGGATAGTCCCCAACAACATCTAGCCACAAATGTTGACAGAGCCAGGGTTGAGAAACCCTAACTCCAGGTAGACAAGGTCATTTTTGTGTCTTCTAGCTCGACTCTGAAGGGCTGCGGTGACAGCTCAGTGGAATAAGCACCTGCATGGCAAGCTCAAGGTCCTGAGTTCAATTCCTGGTACCAAATAAAAATAAAAATAAACAACAACAAAACAAAAATGACAAACAAAAACACCCCCCAAAACTAGATGGACTCTGGCTTCATGATGGGAGGGCTGGCACCGTGCGGGTGTTCCCGGCATAGTCTGGGAGTCAGTTCAGTCCTTCCACTTTTCTCAGCCTTCTTTTCCACCTTGATGGCAGCAACGCCTGCCTCACTTGGCCCTGACCATACACAGCTGCCCCATCTCGCTCGAGGCACAGCACCATCTGCTACTCCTTCACCCTGTTTCCACCACCTGGGCTTGGCTTGGCAGAGCTCTGTGGAAGGAAGTTTTGGGGAGAGTACACCACTTACTGTTGATGGATTTGAGGTCCCGGTGGATGATGGGTACTGGGGCGTCGTTGTGTAGGTAGTTCATGCCCCGGGCCACCTGTACAGCCCAGTTGACCAGCACATGAGGGGGCACCCGGCGACCTGCCAGCACCCTGCTCAATGCCCCTCCCCGGGCATACTCCATCACCAGGCAGAGGTGAGGAGGGCTGAGGCAGGCGCCCCGCAGGGCAATGATGTTGGGGTGCTGCAGGGCTCCAAAAAGTCGGGCCTCCTGGCGCACCTGCTCCGCTGTCACTGCCGGGTCCCGTTCAGGGTCTAGGCGAGCGGCCTTGACAGCTACCTCCTCTCCGCGCCACAGGGCCCGGTAGACCTTGCCAAAGCCCCCGACACCGATGATCTCTTCTAGCTGCAGCTCGTGGAAGGGGATCTCCTGGGGCAGCTGGAGGCCCGCGGGTGTGGCGGGCACGGTGGGGGCCACGTAGTTGCTCGGGAAGACGCCCACACGGCCGCTGGGCAGCTGCCCGGTCCACCAGCCCTCATCGCCGGATACTGCACAGTCCTGGGAAAGCACCTGGACGCGGTCGCCCCTCCGCAGGGTCAGCTCCTCCTCGCCAACCGCCTCATAGTCAAACACCGCGGTCCAGACAGGCCCCGTGGGGGTCGTGCCCCATTCCTTGGCCGCCGCCCCCTCCTCCTCCTCCATGGGGGAGGGGCCGGGGGCTGCGGGAGGCCGCTTCACGCAGGCTGCCCGCGGGATGCAGAGGGCGGGCCCGGGCGGCCGGGATGGGGGGCTGTCCCTGCAGGCCCTAGGCGGCTTCTGGGGGCCATGGCTGCGGGGGGCTCCACTGGAGCAGAAAAAAACAAAAAATCTTAAAAAGGCAGGATTGGCTGTCCAGGCTGGGGGCGGTTCGGGAATGGGGCGGCAGGTTCACCTGTTTCCAACCCAAACGTCAGGGCGCTAAGCGCGTCTGGCCGCGCGGGGTCCGCAGGCGGGGGCCGAGGGCGAGGGCAGCAGGCAGCCGCCCCTCCTCGCGCCTCTCACCCCGCGCAGCTCCACCGGCGGCCCCCGGCTCCGCATCCCCGGGCCACGACCGCCGGGCTGGGCGGGGTGGCGTGGCCCCGGGGGCGGCCGCCCCGGTACGGGGTGGCGCGCCCCTCGACCTCCTCACGCGCGCGGCGCCTGGGCGGCCCCCATCCTTCGCCCCGGGCTTTCGGTGGGCCCCAGCCCCGGCCCCCGCCCGCGCCGCTTCCAGGGGCCGCCGGCAGTGGTGGACTGACGCGGTGCCCCCGCCGCGGTGTCGCCTGGGAGTTGTAGTCCTTAGCCGCGCGGCTCCGGGCCCTGTCCACCCCAGAACCTAGCTGTCACCTCGGCCTCAGTAGGGACCCTTCGCGGCCGAGGAAAGCCTCTGATGAAAAAAGCCTCGCCTCGGACCTTCGCTACCGCCCAGTGGATTGGGCGTTTGGGAGAGGAGACCAACGCTTCCCTCTGGCCCAGCACGGATCCCAACCCAGGGTAGGGCTGAGGGAATCGACGAGCTTAGCAAGGCGAAAAACATGGAGCTGAGCTAGTGGTGGTTATTTCCCGGAACTTCGAACGTAGGCACACAAGGTCCCCACTCCGGACGGTCCCTTGGGGAACCTCCCGATCTGCGATGCATGTCGGGAAATGTAGTCCTTCGAAGGAATCCGGCTTTTTGAGAAGTGAACCCTGAAATGCGCTTCAGTGAATGATGGCTCCAGCAAGCTGAGGGGAGGAGGCTAGCTGGTGTAAAGACCTGTGCAATGTAGATAGAGCTAGCTAATGTGTTTATGGCACTTGAGGATGTCATAGCCACGTCTGCTTCCCCCGCAGTTAAGTTCTGCAGAAGCCATCCTATCATAATGTCACTTTTCATTTTGAGGGATTTAGTACACATCTTACGCGATTCTGGTCTGGAGACAGTAACTTTTTTTTTTGCTTGTTTGAGACAGAGTCTTGCTGTGCAATTCAGGCTGGTCTTCAACTTCCAGGTTGGCCTCGAACTCGCAGTGATCTTTCTGCCTCAGCCTCCTGGGAGTGTTGGGATTACCGGATGCCCCATCATGGCCGGCAGTAACTTTTGATTAAAACCATATTCATTGGAATTTAAAATGTGATTCAAAGTGTACTATTCTTAATTAGTCTGCTATTTTGATGTAGGAGGAATCTTGTTTCAATTTCTTCATCTGCACTGACAGATTTGCCATGTGGCATTACATGGTAACAAGCACAGTGACCCTTACACCAGTAAATCAACTAGTTTATCTGAAGGGAGACATTTCTCTGGATTTTCAGGTAGTCTGTCTTTCCTTTTTTTTTTTTTTTTCTTCTGGAACCAGGGCCCTTGAGCTTGCCAGGCAGGTGCTTACACCGCCAAGCTACCACCCCAGCACCCCATTGAACTATATCTCTAGCCCTTTTCATTTTTTATTCTGAGATAAGGACTCACTAAGTTGCCAAGGCTGGACTAGAACCTGCTATCCTCCTACCTCTGCCTCTGGAATAGCCGGTTTGAAGGTGTGCAACAGCACACCCAGCCCTCCTGAGCACAAGCCCCTTCCTTGCCCCTTCCCCCATGGGGCTTGGAATACACCTTGTATGTAGCCCAGGCTGACATCACACTTGAGGTAATCCTCCTGCCTCAGCCTCCTGAGTGCTGGAATTATAGGCGTGTACCACCACTCCTAGCTTTATTTAGTTATTTATGATTGGGATATTATTTATTATTTTCATGCTATTGCTTTTTTTTTTGTTTTTAATGATGTGTTTCTATTGCTATGTTTGCAGTGGCTTTTTATCACAGTAAGAACAGCCTGCTGGCCCGTGCCCTCCCCAGCCCTGCCCCTTGCCTTAAGTCTCCATGTAGGGGATCCTTGGGGGCCACTTGGCTGTTTGGGGCTTGATGAAACAGGGATGTGAGTTAAAGCTGTTACAAGAAAGACTTGAGATGCGGAAGCTATTGTGTTCTGGTTTTTTTTTTTTTTAATGCTGAGCTAGGATTTGACTGCTTTGTTGAACTCATTCTTAGCTATTTTGGAAGCGCTTTATAGATACTACCCACTTTTCTAGCTAGATATTGGCCCAAAAAATCACTGTTCAAGCTGGGTGAGGGGGTTCATGCCTGTGATGCCAGCACTGGGGGGGGGGGCTGAAGCAGGAGGATCATTGGGAGTTCGAAACCAGGCTGAGCTACAAAGTGGGCTCAAGGCCAGCCTGAACTGCGTAGTGAGACCCTGTCTTAAAAAGACAAAAAACAAAAAAATCACTGTTTAGTTTTCCCAATCTTTCTCTCACTCTCTCCCTTTGGCTGAGAGTTTCAGTGCAATATTGAATGGCAGTGGTATGAACGGTAATTCTTTTCTCACTCTAGCCTTTTAAAGGAATAATCCTAAAATGATATTATTAAGTATGCTATTTTCAGTAAGTTTCTTTCTTTTTTTTTTAGTACCAGGGATTGAACTCAGGACCTTGTGCTTACCAGGCAAGTGCTTATTCCATTGAGCTATCTCCCTGGCTTTTCAGTAAGTTTCTATAAGTCCTTTATCTCATTTATTATGTTCTGTTACTAATTTGCTAAGAGTTGAAAAGATGTTGAATTTTGTCAAATGTTTTCCACATTTATAAGGACTTTTTTTTTTCTCCTTGAATGCCTTCAGGGCACTTTTGCATGGCTGGAGTGTTGTGGGGATCGAACTACAGCAAACTGAGGCTGCCAGCATTGTGGAAGCAGCCACTTAAAGAACTGAGCTAGGGCTGGGCCCCCCTTTTTTCCACATTTATTAATGTGATTTGATAAGTTTTCTGGTATTATTATTGTTGTTGTTGTTATTATTATTATTATTGATTTTTGAGACATGGTCTTGCTATGTAGTTTAGGCTTATGTTTAACTCAGTATGTACCCCAGGCTGACCTGGAACGCATGGGGATCTTCCTGCCTCAGCCTCCTGCTGGCTAGGATTACAGGTGTGTGCCATCATGCCTGGCTGGTTGTCTGCTTTTAATTTGTTAATATGCAACATTTATTTATTTATTAATTATGTATTTAGTACAGTCTACAGGGTCTCACTATACAGATCTGACTTCTAGTGATCCTCCTGTTTTCAGCTTCCCAAGTGCTGAGATTACAGGTGCGTGCCACCACACCCAGTCTCAGTTGCAATCTCAGTGTGTCACAGGGGTAAGGCCAGCACTACATGCTGAGGATCGAACCCCAGTCCCTGCTCCTGCCTAAGCAGGTGCTTTAGTCTGCTGAGCTATCTGGTTGGCCCATTAATTTGTTGATGTGAGACTACCCTCATTCTCACTTTCACCAGCACCAATTTAATTTAATTTATTTATTTATTGTGGCTGGCTTAGCCCACCCTGGGGGTGGGACTGGCATGGCATGTGGTGCTGTGGTCCCTGCGCATTTACCTAAGCTTGCCTAATCAGTCGCTTTAGACAGTTGAGCTATCTTGCCAACCCTTTA